TAATTATTCTTTATCCTTTCAGAATTCAGATGTTGATGAGTTGAGCCAGAGGACCAATGAAGCAAGTCAGAATTCCGAGGCAGATGTGTCAGAGCAAGCTCCAACTATTAGACGATCTACGAGAACAAAGAAGCAGCCAGATAGATATGGTGAATGGACGAGTTAAAATGGACACTCAGAGTAAAGTGATAAGTGAAAGTGATTTCAAAGACTTCTTAAGTGAAGATAGTATTTTATCATTGTTTTTATGATTTGTGTAAATATTTATTCTGAATAAATGAATCTATGCATGACATTCACCGATACATGTTGTTTATTTAAAGATAAACAATTGATACTGTAATTATACAGTGTAACTTTATTGAACCCCCATCATCAATTGATATTTGATGAAATTAATATTTAACTTGAGATTGACTTGAACATATTCAGTTGATTGCGGTTGGTTCAGTTGATATGATTCGTTGACAATGATGTTGAGGTCTTATGTGTCAAAGGTTTGTGGCAGGTTTGTTCTTCAGTGTCAGTGAGTTGTATTTTGGTGATGCATTAATGGATTCAGATGATGTTCGATTATTTTACTTGGTTTGATTATATTTTTAGCATGTTTTCTGGATTAATTAATTTGTTGTACATATATTCTGAATTGATTCAGCACTTTGAATTAAAACATTGCCTGATATTTAATTTCAGAGAATGTCAGGAGCCATTTAATAAAAGGGGGGAATATGTAACCAGTGTAAGTAATTAAATGTTTCAGTTTCAATGTTTTATTTTATAATTATTTCTGTTGTGTGTGTTTACATTTGTGTTGCCATGTGTGAATGTCCACGTGTGAGTATTTATGTTTACTAGTGTGACGTACTTGACCATTTCCGGTTTGACCAGTTCTATTTCTATTAATAACTTTTTACTAACTTTCCCGCGACTAAATGTTTTCCATGCACACTCGGCGCTACACCCTTTACGGGGATAGACGTTATATTGTATTAGAGCTGATTAACAAGTGGTGCTTGGTAAATATATTTATTTTATATACATATTTCTTATTATCTTTGTAATTAAAAGTAAAGTCATCAAGTATTTGTGAATGTTTATTAATTATTATGACTTTATTTCAGGTTTTTCTTATATATATTACAATAATTAAAATCTTGGTCAAACCTTACTACTGACTTATGTCTTACTGAAGAACCTGGAATCTACCGACATGGTTTACATAAAGATAGGGGCTTGGTAGAGCATTTCCTGGACTTGTGCAATGTATCTTTGTTTTAAGGATTTTTATAAAGTTTAAGAATCCAGTATCGGTCGGCTATAGATCGAACTCATCTTGGTTGACTGCGATGTTATACGTTTTGAACACTGAATATGTGATTTTGAAGAATTTCAACCATAGAACGTTAACTTTGAGTATATTTTGGATTTCCAGACGTGGAATTAAAACTAAGTTCTTCTATAAAAAAAAAAAATTAAAAAAAACAAAAAAAGTTATAATGATGAGACTTGCAAACAAAGCCGATATTGTTACAGTGAAAATATAATGATGCAAATCTGTTATGAGATCTCCTCGTCTTCAAGAAATAATAAAGCTTTAAAACATCCTCGGGCAAAATGCGTTTTGTCAACCCCCCGAATCAAATTGTTTGCCTTTGGCCTGACGGCCTCAGGCAAACAGTTTGGTTCTTGGGTCCGACAAAACCCATATGTTGCCCTCGAACCCAGTCAATAATGTATAGTTAACGATACCTCCAGATTGTAATAATTAAAAGTTAAAGCTCTCTCATATCAAAATCAGATATATTTCTCCACTTATGAAAATAGAGTTTGGGGATAAAAATAAAATTCAACAGAATTTTAATTGTTGTAATTATTAATTAGTTATGTCTTTTAAGTTTTTTTTTTTTTAAATAATTGAATTCAAAGAAAATTGACTTTTTTTTTGCAGTGTGATGAAGCTCCAGAGAGGGACCTTCTGTCAACAGCTGGCTACATACATGTATGAAAGAAATAAATTGTCTCCCGTTTTCGCGAAAGCGAGTAGAAATTAAATCTCATTCGTCTGTCTGTCAGTCTGTTGTCATGTTCTAAACTTTGTATTTACTCCCACCCGGTAAATTCAAAATTTAGAACATGACACTGTCAGTCTGTCTGTCACAAAAACTTTAACCTTGGTCATAACTTTTGAATGAGAAGAGATAGGGCTTTCATATTTTACAAGTACATTACCTGTGACAAGACCTTTCTAAATGTACTATAATTTTTGACCCAGTGACCTTGAAGTTTGACCTACTTTTCAAAAATTTTAGCATTTCTTTAAATTGATCATAACTTTTGAATGAGAAGAGATACGACTGTGATGATATTATACATGTATTTTACCTGTGACCAGTCCTTTCCAGACATACTAAGATTTTTGATCCCGTGATCTTGAAGTTTGACCAACTTTTCAAAAATTTAGTTTTGCTTATATCTTTTGATGGAGAAGATAAAGGGCTTTCATATTTGACATTTGTGCATTACCTGCGACAACATCTTTTAAATATACAATGACTTTTGACCCCTTGACCATGACCTTGAAGTTTGTCCTACCTTTCAAACTTTTAACTTTACATTAAATCGGTGATAAAATTTAAATAAGAAAAGATAAGACTATCATATTATATATGTACATTACCTGTGACAAGGCCTTTCCAAAAATACTTTGAATTTTGCCCCTGCGACTTTAACCTTGAAATTTGACCTACTTTTCCAAATTGTTATCTTTGCTTAAAACTTTTGATTCAGAATACACAGGGCTTTCATATTTGACATGTGCCTTACCTGCGACAAAGTGTTTCCGAGCATGCTATGATTTTTTACTTCTTGACCTTGACCTTCATGTTTGATTGATTGATTGTATATTATTTTACGTCCCATTCGAGAATTTTTCACTCATATAGAGACGTCACCATATACCGGTGAAGGGCTTCAAATTTTGACCTTTACTCGGCACTCAGGGCCATTGAGCAGTGAGGGATCTTTATTGTGCCAACGACTGCCGTGACACGGGGCCTCGGTTTTTAAGGTCTCATCCGAAAGACCCGCAACTTTCACTCCAAATTGCCGAGCGCATGGCAAAGGAACAGTTGTTACCTATTTTTTATCGACTTAGGTCTGTCGCGGCCGAGATTCGAACTCACGACCTCCTGATCACGGAGCGAGCGCTCTACCGACTGAGCTACCGTGAACGGTCCTTCATGTTTGAAGTTATTCTCAAAAATTTGCACTTTGGTGATTGCTTTTGAATGATATATGATAAGGCTTTCATATTTGACAAGTGCATTAACTGTGTCAAAATGTTTCCAAATGTTCTGTGATATTTGACCCCGTGACCTTCAAATTGACCTAATTCTCAAACGTTTCACCAGTATTGATAACTTTTGAAGGGCAAAGATAGGACATTCATATTTGACACGTGCATTACCTGTGACAATCATTTTCAAACATTTACATTTTCCAACGTCTTTCTTTGAGATAAAACTACAAATAAGGTAATGGCTTTATAACCCCATAAAGCGATTTGCTCAGCACTTGACAGAACTGTATGCTTTTTCGCTGTGTGTTGCTTAATTAGTAATACACCTGGCGGGGATGCTGAGATTTCTTATTATTGAATTTTTTTTATTGAATCAAGGATCAGGTAAAAATGTAAATATAAGGAATAACTGTCTGGTTTTTTCGATTTATGATGATGATCAATCAATTTGCTCGCATGATAATTTTACGCATAAACGCTTTCGGCATTTATGCTAATTATCACGCGAGCAAATTGATTGATCTCATCATAAAACCAAAAAACTAGACAGTTATTCCTTAAATGAACTATGATTTTTAACCCCGTGACCTTGAAGTTTGACCTAATTTCAAAACTTTTAACATTGATGATAACTTTTTATTGAGAGGAAATATATGACATTTACATTTAACATGTGGATTACCTGTTTCAATTTCCGATTGTGTACTCTGATTTTTGATATTTATTTCACAAGAGCATGCATTACTTGTGACAAGACATCACGAATTGTATTATGATATTTGACCTCATGACCTTGATCTTGCAGTTTGATGTAGTTTTGAGAAGCTTTAATCTTTGCCATACCTGTAATTAATTCAATAATTTTTGTCTTTTCATATAATGCGGAGACAGGACAGGACACACACACGAGACAGTTACAATATTCCATAAATAATGGCATCCCATCCACAAAGAAACCGAAAGCGGGGGACCACAATTCTTTGATTTTGCTTGTTATATTGAATATATCATACTTTCGAAACAAATATCAGACTTGATATGCAACTTAATAAACAAAATACTGATCTAGTCTCTTTTTTCGGGGATTACTTGGGTGGGGTTAAACGGTGCGTCAATTTACCCACAGGAGTTCGCAATTTTATCAATAAAGTCAATAAAAATCACTCGATTGACCAAGCCATGAGCTATGCGTTAGCATAGCGAACTGTTCGCTATGCTAACGCATAGCTCATGGCTTGGTCAATCGAGTGATTTTTATTGACTTTATTGATAAAATTGCGAACTCCTGTGATTTACCCAAAAGGACCGAAAAGGAACCCAAAAGGAAATTAAAAGCAACCCAAAAGGACTAGAAATAAAGGGGATAACTGGATATTCAATGAACGCTTTCATACTTTATTGAAAATAAAACAGTAATTTTGGGGGGGGGGGGGGGTTGGGGTAGGGTGTCCTCCCTTCCCCCATCCCCACCCCCGGATATCATATGCCTAGAATTTAACAAGTCATAACATAAAACTTATTGCTTAAATTAATGTTATAAATAAGTGTTTTTGATTTTTTTTTTTTAAGTTGAGAATAATGTCATAGAAGAGATATAAATAAAATTTTAATTAGTTACTGTTCATAGATATGCGGCGATAGACCACAAAAATATTTTGCTGATAAGACAGATTATGCCCCTTTAAATATTTATTTACAGATGGCGTTTTATCAACATGGTGGCTGTGGAGAAGTGCGAGTTCCTGTCATTGCAGCGTAGTTTAGGGTCCTGATATTAGAGGTATAAAAAATCAATTTGAGCAACCTATTCAATGATTTTAGACATTTAACAGGGAACTTTTATCGTTCTCGTCCATTACATCGGTATTTTTCAATATCCTGATGCTGATGAATGTGTAACGTTAATGACAAATATTATAAATATGGCAACGATGCTGTTTATCATCACTAAGCTAAAGCAGATTATGGAAAGTTGGGTAACATATACCCATTTTATTATGGAGTATGTGTAGAAAAAGTCTACGCAAGTAATGACTATTAAACACACAAGTCAGTGTTTTGTTATGGCAGGGTTGCAAATAACACTTGAAACCTTAAGGGCCATGTGGGCCCCAACTTTAAAAGTTTAACTAACCTAACGTTACATTGATATTTTGGGACCCAAATTTCCATTCAATTCCTTAAAAAAAAGAAGAAAAAATCGATCTTTTAGCATTATAATATCTGGGAAGTATACTTTGCTCTCCATAGTCTTTCATTGTCCTGATTATTTTGACACCATGAATGATTTATGAATGATATTGCATGAAATTTTATGTTTTCCTTCATTTTGAGACCTCACAAAGTCATAACATTAAGGCAGTTTGGGTTAGAAAACAATTAGTTGGTAGGAAATCAAGAAAATGAAAGTGCATTTAATTGTAAAATCAAAGGATGGACAGGTTCTGGAAAAGTTCTGATAAAATTCGTACTCACCACATCATGTACTTGTACATCCTCAAGAATTGGTCACCCACAGACAAAATTAATAGCATTTGCTAGTGGGCAAGTGATTATTTGCAACCTGTTATAGTCATCATAATTACATAGATAAAAGACATGATGAATTATTAAATCAGATAATAAAAAAAATTGATGTGTTAGCATATCTGGCCTATTAAAAATGATTGTCATTATGTATCCTATGCATGTACATGTATAGAACAGTGCACACCCCTCCTACACATTGCTTAAAAATCACAGAAAATACATACATGTATTCACTGAAAAACTGAAGAAGCAAGTTAACAAAAGTGATTATTATACATTAATTAGTATCGCAACACGTACAGCATTGGTATAGAGTTTGAGTTTTATTTATTTATTTTTTTTTTATTTATTTATTTATTTTTTGCTTGGATAAGAGCAGAACATTATGTGTATGCAAAAATGAAAAAATTCCTCCCAGAAGACAATTTTTTTTACTTATACTCTTGACAGAAAATTGCACATGAACTCAATCTAAAGCTTAAACACCTGGATCCCAATTTTTGAGAAATCTCTTGGAATTGTAATGATGTTTAAAGGTCGTACAAAACAGTCTCCCATGCATTTTGAGTTGTTTATGGAAATGAGTTCATCTGAGCTACTTTAATAAGCCTGATATTATATTTTTGGATTTTTAATGTAAGGAAGCAGCAGCAGAGTCAATCAAAATTATTTCATAACGAAAATGAACTTCAACTAACACGGCTTACCTCCCCTTACATATGACATCAGTAAGACCCAGTGGCTGTTCAATGCTGTGTATTATACTTATATGTACACAAACGATCATGTCATTTTGCACCGTAGTTTTAAGAAATATCACAGTCATGGCTAGAACCTTGTATAATTGTACAATGTTCAAACAAGCCAGTATATATTTGATTTTTAAAATGCCATTTATATATTTGCAAGATTTTAGTAGTTTTTTCTGTCCTTAAAAGTTGACACTTCGAGCGATCAAAAGAGAGAGAGAAGAGAGATCGATTGAGAGAAAGAAAACGAGTGACAGAGAGAAAGGGAAAGAGCAACAGATTCAATTCATTTTCCATAAATAGATTAAATTCTTTTAATGAAATCATTTTTTTACTAGTACCTAGTTTCACTTTCAAACACTGGATCAATCAAATTCAGCTTTACTTATGCGCCACGTGCTATTGTACATTGGTAGCATCATGGCTTAAATTTTTTAATCAGAAAACAAATCAACAATATTCTTGTATTAGAAATTTATTCAATTGTAAATTATTTGACAGCATCTATATTCACTTATTTGTATAAAGCCCCCCCTTTCTTTCTCTCTCTCTCTTTCTCTTTCGTATTTTCCCCTTTTCCATGAGAGTTCTTGAAATAATCTCTTTACTTTCAAAACGCTTGTAGAGATTTTTCTTTTAAATCAACAACTTTGACAAACATACACATACATGTATAATAATAATGCGGGTTAATTAGAAACTAATCGAAATAAACAAATAAAGACTCTGAAATCCTTTTGGCATGTATCATAAATGTATCAAATAGGAATGAGAGTATTTTTGTGTCTAAAGAATTAATTTAAAATAAGTAATCATGGAGTGGAGAAATCATGGGGTATTCATCAGTATCATCCTACGAAGAAAAGCTCTTGTTTTCAATAGCTGTGCTTATAATTTACTACTATATCAAACAGAGTTGACTACACTATAGAATCAGATAGCTCATCTGTAAACATAATCACATTTCTATCCACAAAAATGGCTAAAATTAACTCGATAAAATACATTAAAAATACACTAAATCTAATGCGTTATTTACATCAATGGGTCTTTGTGACGTCGTAAAACTACAAAATTAAGAACAATAAGCGGGTAACAAATTTATCAAGTGCACAAGTTTGCGCCTTCATTTCTCAGTTAAGCAAAGGCAAAATTTTTTTACTAAACGTAATTTGACATTCTTTCATACCAATCTTTGTGTTTAAAAAGTACAATCCTAGTGTTAAAAACTGTTTCATCTTTAAGAAAATTATGTTAAATGAATTATGTAAAAATAAATTCATCACTCATCCTTCATATACATGTATGATAGATTCATGTAATGATGTATGTATGAAACATAGTGGATATACATGTATGGCTAGATTTACTATCTTTCAAGAAAAAAGAATGATATGTGAACCAGAAATCTCCTGTTGAATAATAGTCGAAATTTCTTTTTGATTTCTATGTTAGCAGTATTTCTTGAGCAAACCATTTGAAAAGTCTATTTGGGTAAAAAAAAATTACCCCCCCCCCTCCCCCCCCAAAAAAAAACATTTGTGTTGTAACATCAGCCATCATGTAGTGTGGAAAAAATTGTTGTTGTTAAAAAAATTCCAGTTGTAGGCAATACAAAATTACCAAATATTTATATTAAGCCATAATTTGGAATTTACAGCCACAGTATACCAGCATTCTATTAAAATTTCAGATGGGAGTAGAAAATTTGTCAGGACAATATGTTCGAGCTGTTTATCCTTTTGAAACGAACCATCCAAGGGAGATAAGTCTATCTAAGGGTGACATTATTAGAGTGACTAGTGTGATTGATGATAACTGGTACTGCGGACAGTTAAGAGGGAAGGAGGGGAACTTTCCCTCCAGCTTTGTGGAGGTTCTTAACCTGCCCGCAGTAGAGGAGGGACAGATATTGTTTGGTGCTATAGAAAACTTTCCTGCTCAGCAAGATGGAGATCTGGAGTTTAGAAAAGGTGAAATTTAAATATCAGTTCTACATATAATCTAAATCTACATGCATTGATAATTAATTTAGTGATAATAATACAGTAAAATATGCATATATTGAAGTTCCAGGGATAAATAATTTTGATTCATTATAAATGTACAATGTAATTTGTTATTTCTGATAAGTTTATAGTAGGTTTTAAAACTTCAGGGAATGAAAATCAATTTGCTTTAAGCATGCATGTGCTGGTATTCATTATATGCATGTAAGCCACTGTAAGGTGACTCTGTTTTTCTGTATCTACTTGTAGATAATACATGAAGATATGCAGTCTATGCAAAAGTTTTTTGGACCAAACAGGACATTCAGTCCTGTGTAATCAATGAACACACAGGACCAAACCAAATTTTGTCAGACCGAAAAACCTAATGTAAAAAAGTGAAATACGTGAAAATGCAGAACTAAGGAAATCTTATTACTGTAGACGGTCCATGCGGTTTTAATCAATTCATTTACGTATTTGGATTTGTGCGATATTTTTTTACTTATAACAAACATTTGAATGACTCCTCGTCAAAATAGTAGAGCTCAAAACCGGACGCTGAGAACATCGGACATTCTGGTCCGGTGTAAAAAATGACGCATCGGACCAGAGGCACTGCACATCGGTCAGGTCCGACGGTCCAATGTCTTTCGCATAGACTGGATATGACAAGATTGAAAAACAGATTGAAAAACACATTAGCATCTTCATCAATTTAAAAATCACTTTGCCAACCTCTTTGCACTGCTTTGTCAAGCTAAATCTGTTTAATTTATAGAGTCATAGAAGACGTTTAGTTGTAATGTTATTTTACAGAAATAGCCATCCTTATATCGTGTATATATTCATAGTGTTGAAATATGATTGTAGGTGCTATTATCATGGGGACACATCAGATTGATGCCAACTGGTGGCAAGGACAACTGGGGTCTCATAAGGGGATTTTTCCAGTCACACATGTCATGGAGCTGGAACTCCCACCCTCCCTCAAGGAACGGAGTCACAGTGTCCACTCAACAGAGCCTCTGTTTGCCTTGGCGCTGTGTGACTCAGTCGCTCAGCTTGATGAAGAACTCGGGTTTAAGACTGGTGATATCATTACTGTGACTGAGATTCTAGATTCGGATTGGTATTATGGGGAGCTCGGTCGTAAGAAAGGGATGTTCCTTTCTTCTTGTGTGGAATTGATACAAGATACATCACCAGGTAGCGGGTCAATACATCATCAGCCCACTAAAAAATCCAGTTCCACAATTCAGAAATCTTTCTCACTGGATCAGTCTTATTATAGTAGTGTTAGTGATGGACAGCCTTCTGAAGTTGATGATAGCCAATCAGGATCATCCAATGTGCCAAATAACCAATCACAGTTAACAATACCAGATCAAAGTGCTGCCTACACCAGCGAGAACACAAAGAGTTTGGACTCTTCTGTTAGTCCATATGCCATGACATTGTACAAGTTTGAAGGACAGTCTGACAATGAACTTTCTTTTGATGCCAATGAGATTGTGTACCTTATCCAGCATGTAGACGACCAGTGGACAGAGGGGGAGATTGATGGGAGGATTGGACTGTTCCCCACATGCTTTGTCTCCATTATTGTTGATTGTCCATATGCTTTCTCTGGGAATGAGGCAATAAATAGAACAAAAATAAATGCTTCTGAAGAAGAAAGGACAAGAGATTACCATGAAGAACAATTAAAAAATGACCAAGAGGTGAAAAATAAAGATCTAGATATAAATGAGAATCAGAATTGTTCAACAATGAAAGATAGATTGAACATCAGTGATGGCAGTGTTGATGAAGTTGAACAACATGAGAGCAGGGACCAGTATGCACTTGTTTTGTTTTCCTTCTCTGCAGAAACAGACCAGGATCTTACCGTAACAGAAGGGGATACAGTTAAGATTTTAGAATATCTAAATACCGAGTGGGTGAGGGCATTAAATGAGAATTCTGGGAAGTCTGGACTGGTTCCCACTGTCTTCCTTGACATAATTGATGATAGTCCTATACAGTCTCCAGCTGCTGATTACAGAAATCATGAACTTAAAGATAAAATGAGTGTAATTATTAATGATAAAGAGGAACTGAGTGTTGAACCTCAGGGACTTGTAACACCACCTATTGATAAAGTGAAAACGGAGATTGATGACAGAAATTTATCATTTTCACTTGTAAAGCCAGGTGTACCAATAAGTGACCATGTGACTGAACATAGGGAAAACAATATAGCTCAAGAAACATCCCAACAAAACATACACAGAAGTAATATTAAAGAGAAGAGTGGGACCCAAAGCATAAATTTTACTTTGGAACAAAAACCAGTATTACCAGTTAAACCTCAGATTAACCCTAAACCTGTAATGAAGCCTAAACCAAGCCTTTCACCCAAACCCAATCTGCCAAACAAAATGAGATTACAACCTGTAAAAGAAACCGAAGATGGCGAGGCTTCAATGGCCAAGTCATCATCTGCTCAAGTTCTTCACAGCCATGATGAATCGAACAGTACATTACAAAAATCTCTGTCCACAAATGAACTGTCTAGTTCAGCATCAGATATGAAAACTGAAAGTAGGAGAGCTACATTTTCTTTCGGTGATGTAGATACATCAAAATCTTTAAATGACTTAATATCAGGTGAACTTTCCAAAGCAAAAAATGATGTGAAAACTGATGATGCCAAAGAGAAACTAGGCAATAAATCAGCTCACCCAGCCAAGCCAATACTTAAGAGAGATCAAGTCAGTAACAAGTCTTCTAGTTCTTCAAATTTGATTAAAACAACAGATCCAAAGAGACACTCTGTAAATTTTCCAATACAAGACACTACACATCAAAGAATGATTGCTAATGATGATTTCCATGGTAAATTCTCAACAGGAAATTCTGTTTTCTTTGTGGACCCAGTTCCATCCAAAAAAAGTTACCCATCAATGAGAAAACCTCCTCCTATTCCACAAAGGTCATTTGAACAGAGCTTTCAGTTTGACCGTACACCCTCCCTTAAGAAAGACCCCCCACCCCGCCCCAATGGCCCCAGACTGGCATCTGCCCCTCCAACTGTTCCTTTAATTCCTGTTAAAGTGACTGATCCTAATCATATGAACCAAAATGGTCAAATACCAAGGACAAGACCATCCAGACCTGCCCCTTCATGTCCAATTCCCTCAAGACCCGCACCAACACGACCAATGCCAACCAGACCTGCCCCAACCAGACCACAGATGTCATCTACCAAGCCAGCTCAGCAGGGACCAGAGGAGGGACTAATTGTTCTGGAGGATACATTTAAAGGTAATGACTTTTATCAAGTACATAAAAGCAGATACTGTATCTCTTGAATTAGGGCATGTACAAGGTCATATATTTTTTATTGGTACAATGTATGAAAGGTCCTCATTTAAGTGTAGTTGTTTTGTTACCAGGATATGTAAGAACACGTTAATATGTTGATAAGATTGTTATTTTTCCCTAAAGAAAGAAAATTTGCTACAAGATAAAACAGCATACCTCAAAAGACATCCTGGCTGAAAATCCCTGTTCAAATAAATGTGTTGCACTTAAACATGTTAAATATAAGGTTGTAAATATTTGATAATATGCCTTGATTTTTATCTTTGCCAACAAACTTTCATTACATGTGTCCTGAGTAGAACAATTTCAAAATGTCAGATGCAGGTATGATTTAAATTCCTGACCCAGGTGTCATAAAATATCTGGACTCTGGTTTGTTGAAAGTGGTCACTGACAAACCTAAACAGCTAATGAGCTTTCTACTTTAAAATATAGAAAGTACTTTGATAATTAAGAAATAAGGTATCATTTTTAGAGTTTCATTGGGATACGACATGAAATTGGTCACATGATCAAATTCCAGTGGGTGTTATTTAGTTGAATGTTGACCTACATTTTTCATTTAAATTGTTAGGCCATTATTTCACACTGAATTGGCTACAGATTTTTTCCATTTCCTGATCATTACAAGGAACACACAGTGGATGTGTGACTGGTCGACAGGGGATGCTTACTCCTCCATTGCACCTGATCCCACCTCTGCTCCAAATTTGTATTGTTTCAATTGACTTTTAAGCTTGATTACTGTTCATTATCTTTATATTTTGTAGTAGATTTGATTATGTACTAACTTCATGTCATATCCCAGTGAAACTCTAAAATGTGATATTTTATTAAGTATATTTATAAACCTATTTTGATTTGTGATACAAAGAAAAATTTTGCACTTACATAGATGTAGGATGTGATGACATCACAGTCTGGACCCTCCAAATATCTTGTGTAGAAAGTCTAATGTGCCCAACTTTGTGTCATCAAAAATTGAATGTCAATTTCATTAGTATTGTCATTTAAGGAAACACAATGGCAAATGTAAATATAATGCTTTGATTTATATCTTGCATTGCATGTGTCCTGGGTAGTTCAATTTCAGAATAAGACAAAAAGCAGAGGCATAATTTAAAAATGTGTGTAATTCTGGACTAAGCTGTCATATAAAATCTCTAGACTCTGGTTTGTCTGAAGTGGTCACAGATAAACCCAAATACCTATCTATCTGGAAGATGTATAACATTGCTTTAGAGATAAATATAGTACCCTGCTATAAATAAAGATAAACTCGCTGAATTGGTCAGTAAGAAATCTTAACAGGGTATTGCTACAGAGTTTGCTGACAAGGAATGTACAGCGTAACTTTGTGTGGATGTTTTTCTATATGAAGCAGGATTCATACCAGTGAGGTATAGTTCATGATGTAACATTTTACATTTAAAATTCCTGCTGTATACATGTACTGTGCAGGTTTTAAAATACCTTGTAAAGTGAAAGCATAATTGGGATGATAATGTACAGAAATATGTTTAATGACATTTTTATAAAAATATATCAAACCTTCATTACATGTAAGTAAATTCTCAAATTAAACCAGTGTTTAAAAAAAAGTTCAGAACAATTAAGTGAAGTGGAGAGCTTGTGGAATTTAGTCAAATCAGATATAGAATAATTAATGGTAAACGACAAGGAAGTTTTGACTGTCTCATTTCTGTTTTGTTGTCTAGCTTGTTATCTCTTGAATTCACAATTTTCCTCTTTAACGTGTTTAATTTGTTTTGAATTTATTTTGGTACACGTATATGAATTTTTAATTCCTTTTGTTTTTTATTGGGTTTTTTTTGAAGGGTTGATCCTCAGTAACTAATCATATCTGGAGGTTGTTTTAATTCTTATTCTAATATCAACTTTTACTGCATTTTTTTTCTCTTCACCAATGTATCGTACTAATCCAGTATTTATTTTGGAATTAGTTCAACATTGATTAGTTGAGTATAATCAGAGCAAATGAAATTTAATATGAAATGAAAGTAAGTAACATATAAAATTTTTTTTAAAAAAATGGGCATAAAATGTGTGGACTTTTAGCAGTGCATTATCTGAAAAATATTGTTAACTTTAAACATCCAAAACTTTTGCAATTAAAGTGAAATATGAGTATTCTTGGTACTGTATTATTTTTAACCCATTTTTTAAATGCATCTATGTAATTGTGATATTGAGAACTAGTGTGGATCCAACCCTTATTTTAGCTCACCTGAGCTTTTCTGATTGGAGGGTGTCTGGCATCCATGTGTTTGTCTGTTGACTTTTCACATTTTCGACTTCTTCTAAAGAATCTCTGGGACAGTTTCAACCAAACTTGCCACAAAGCATCCTTAGGTAGAAGGGATTTAGGTTTGTTCAAATGAAGGGCCATGACCTCTTTCAAGGGGAATATTGTAAACATACCTTTTTCCATGGGTTCATAATTTCGCAGGATCACAATTTCTTAGCTCTACTGGTCAGAGACCAGAAGAGCTTATGCGATAGTAAGGTGTCCATCGTCCGTCCATCTAGCTGTCTGTCCATCTGTCTGTAAACAATTTTTAGCTCACCTCGACGAAGTCGAGATGAGCTTATGCTATACCCCCGACGTTGGCATCGGCGTTAGTGTCGGCGTCTTGGTTAAAGTTTTAGGAGCAAGTCCCATTCCCAAGGAATTATAAGCCCTACCTGGACCAAACTTGCATGGATGATGCATCTGGGGATGGACACTACCACACTTGCTTCAGATGCTGGATCTGACTTAGATTTTCTAGATACCGTAAGTTTTGGAAGATAAGACGATACTTTTTTTCTCAGAACCGCTGGGGTCGTCCTATTTAACGAATCGTCCTATCTAAGGGTCAAGTTTACGAAAAATGCCCCCAAATCAGTAAAATTAACGTCAATTTTAAAGGAAATCTGTGCCATTTTCGTATTTTTTAAAATTATTTTCCCGAAAAAAAAATAAACAAAGAATTAATCAATTATTTATTTCATTGATTTCTTACAAAATAAGTTCCATTAAATATCCGTCGATGTACAAAAAACTTATAATATCATCTAGTAAATAATGTCTCAAAGTAGATTAAAATTTTACAAAATGTTGTGTCCATCTTGTGAAGTTGGAAGTCGCAATCGTTTACTAAAAATAAAACCGCAACCGTATCAAAGTTTAAAATACGGAAGAGTTTTTCACAATCGCAATTGTAATCTTTTTTTCTTTGTAACGAATAATTGAAATAGTATACCTAAATATTTTTTCATTGTCTTGTGATATTTATTTATGAGTAAATGTAAAATGCGTGAAATAAATTGTTGCCAGTAAATTCCTAAAATTATTTACTAAATACACCGCTAGTCATAACTATTTTGTTTTATATCCCAAGGGGTACACTGAATTATACAAAGATTGGCCTCTAATATAATTTTCATCGTCTGACAGATAAATGGATATACACTGTGTACACAAAGGTGTTAACACCTGTGTTGGTTTAAACACCCGAAGGGCATGATTAACAGATCCACGTGCCGTTACAGGGGTATTAATACATCATCGAACAAACAAAACAGTGAAATTCATGATGACTGTTAAATTGCGAATGTACTCTCAATTAAATTTATTTTTTACAACAACATCTCAAGCAAAATTAAAGCATGATAATATGATTAATTTCAATTGCTCACAGTTATATGTAATAGTCAATTGCGTGTTTTAGCAAATCCCTGGACAAGAAATATAAAAATGGCGGTCTTCGATGTTAATATTGTACCCCGGTAAATAATGTCGGAATAAAAGAATGTGTTCACGATGTTCTAAAATGGAAATAATTATTGTTTGATTTCGGGGATTTCCCTAATTATAGCTGTTGTATACTACCGTATTTATGTGTTTAACGACAGAGTGAAACTACGACGGCATTTAACAGGCAAGTTGGAGAAAATACGTTACATCACAATTCAACGAAGTTTTAGGTATGTTTGTATAAAACACTATTAAAATGCTGTACTCATAAAAATACCAGTTTATTTTATCAATACGTTAATATCACGGGTTACGTTAAAGAGGCTTACATGTTCTGATACGTAGTATCTACGTAAGAATCTCTAGAAAATCGATATACAAAGCCTCGTCTTATCTTCTGAGTTCGTCCTATCTAAGGATTTTTAAAAAATTATGGCTAAAAATGAGCCTTTCGACCTATATATCCCATCGACATATACCCCAAAACTTACGGTAATTGACCAGGTTAAAGTTTTTGGAGCAGGTCCATTCCCAAGTAACTATAAGCCCTACCTGGACCAAACTTGCATGGATGATGCATCTAGGGATGGACACTTCCACACTTGCTTCGGATGCTGGATCTGACCTAGATTTTTCAGATGAGTGACCAGGTTAAAGTTTTTGGAGCAGGTCCATTCCCAAGTAATTATAAGCCTTACCAAGATCAAACTTGCATGGAGGATGCATATAGGGATGGACACTACCACACTTGCTTTGGAAGCTAGATATGACCTGGATTTTCCAGATGGGTCACTAGGTTAAAGTTTTTGGAGCAGGTCCATTCCCAAGGAACTAATAGTCCTACCTGGACCAAACTTGCATGGATGATGCATCTGGGGATGGACACTACCACACTTGCTTCAGATGCTGGATCTGACCTAGATTTTCCAGATGAGTGACCAGGTTAAAGTTTTTGGAATAGGTACCTAACTATAAGCCTTACCTTGACCAAACTTGCATGGATGATGCATCAAGGGACGGACACTACCACACTTGCTTCAGATGCTAGATCTGACCTAGATTTTCCAGATGAGTGACCAGGTTGAAGTTTTTGGAGCAGGTCCATTCCCAAGTAATTATAAGCCTTACCTTGACCAAACTTGCATTGATGATGCATCTGGGGATGGACATTACTATACTTGTTTCGGAAGCTGGATCTGACCTAGATTTTCCAGATGAGTGACCAGGTTGAAGTTTTTGGAGCAGGTCCATTCCCAAGAAACTGTAAGCCCTACCTAGACCAAATTTGCATGGATGATACATCTAGGGATAGACACTACCATATTTGCTTCAGATGCTAGATCTGACCTAGATTTTCCAGATGAGTGACTAGGTTAAAGTTTTTTTGGAGAAGGTCTATTCCTGAGGAGCTGTAAGCCCTACCTGGACCAGACTTGCATGGATGATGCATCTAGGGATGTTCACTAACTAACCTGCTTCAGATTCTGGATCTGACCTAGATTTTCCACACGAGTGAATTTTAGCCATATTTTAACCAAATTAGCATGGATAATGATGTATCTAGAGATGGACACTTCCAGACTTGCTTTGGATTCTGAATCTAATATTGATGGATATTAATCTTGGATGTACACCAACTAGGAAAAAAATATGTTGTGAGATTTGCCTTACTTATAGATAACATTCGTCGAGGTGAGCTTAGTAATCTTTGATTACCTATGTTTCAAAATGCTACTCCTCCTACAGTTTGGTCTGATTTCAATGTAACTTGGCACACTAGTAGACTACACTAAGATACATAATTCTATGTATCGGTTTTTGATTTCTATGAATGATGTTGCCATGGTTACTAAAATTAGAAATTTCTGTGAAATACTTTAAAAATGCTACTCCTCCTACAGTTTCAATCTGATTTCAGTGTAACTTGGCACACAAGTAGACTACAATTTGATACATAATTATGTTTATCAGTTTTTGATTTTGATGAACGATGTTGCCATGGTTACTAAAAATAGAAATTTCTATGAAATACTTTCAAAACGCTACTTCTTTTACAGTTTTGGTCTGATTTGAATATAACTTGGCACACAAGTAAACCACACTAAGATGCATTATTCTATTTGTCAGTTTTTGATTTCAAAGAACGGTGTTGCCATGGTTACTAAAAATAGAAATTTCTATAAAATACTTTCAAAATGCTACTCCTCCTACAGTTTTAGTCTGATTTCAATATGACTTAACATACAAGTAGACAACACTAATGCACATAATTCTCTTCATCGTTTTTTGATTTCAAAGAACAATGTTGCCATGGTTACTAAAAACCATCAAAATGCTACTTTTCCTACAGTTTTGGTTTAATTTCAGTATAAATTGGCACACAAATAGACAACACTGAGATACGTAGTTATGTTTATCATTTTTTTATTTCAATGAACGGTGTTGCCATGGTTACTAAAAAAGAAATTTCTGTGAAATACTTTCAAAACACTACTCCTCTTAAAGTTTGTTCCGATATTAATGTAACCTGGCACACAAGGAGACTACACAAAGATACATAATTGTCTTAATTGTTTTTTTTATTTTGATGGATGATGTTGCCATGGTTACTAAAATCGAAATTTCTGTAAAATTCTTTTAAAAGGCTACTCCTCCTACAGTTTTATTCTGATTGCAATAAATCTTGCCACAAAAAGAGACTAAACCAAGGATTATCATTCTATTTATTGCTGTTGCAAAGTTTCAAGTCCAACTTCTCTCTTCCTTTGTTATAAGTTCAAACCAGTAGAGCTACAGTCTCATCAGAGACTTCTGGTTTTTCAATCAATGGGTAGAAAATTACGCGGATTTCTTCTATTGCCATTGTATGTCTTAAATGCTCTTTAAGTATGCTTTGACAAATTTCCGTGAAAGATTTTTGACCATGTACCTAGAGATAATTAATCCCACACGGAAAAATGTAAGTCTACAGTAATTAATAATTGGTGAAAATTTAAGGGTATCTTTAATAGATCTTCTTCTCAATAACCACTTGGCCAGAAAAGATGAAACTTATGTGAAAGCTTCATTACATAGTGTAGATTCAAGTTTGTTCAAATCATGACCCCAGGGTTAGGATGGGGCCACAAGTGGCGATCAAGGTTAAACATAGAAATGTATAGAAAAATCTTTAAAAATCTTTTTCTCTAGGACAGCAAAGTCAGTATTAGTCATACTTATATGGAGGCATCCTCAGATAGTGTAGATTCAACTTTGTTCAAATCGAGACCCCCAGGGCTAGGGTGGGGCCACAATGGGCATGCAATCAAAGTTATACATAGGATTGTTAAGGGAAAATCTCTAAAAATGTTCTCCTCAAGAATGTCAAAGCTTTGGTTAGTCATTTTAATATGGAAGCATCTTCAGGTGGTGAAGATTCAAGAATGTTCAAATCATGACTCCCAGGCATAAGATGGGGCCACAATAGAAGATCAAATTTTTACATAGGAATATATAGGAGAACATAATGTAAAAATCTTTTAAAGCCGTGATTAATCATAAAAATATCTTCAGATTCAAGGTTGTTCAAATCATGCCACTCCAGGCATGACCATGTGCTGAGCCAAAGTGCTCAGGTGAGGTATGTTGCCTATGGCCCTTTAGTTTTTTTAAAGAATATGACTGCTATGATAATCATGAAAATTATAACTTGAAACTTAAGAGTTTCATAAGTAAGGTTTACTTAAGAAACTTAAGTAAATTAAAGTTCCTTGTTTTTAAGTTGAGTGTTTATTTTTTTTAGCTGAGGCTCATTCAGTGGCTGTGGCAGACCTCAGAAAAAAGATTAAAGACCTAGAAATGGATGTGGAAGTGAGTAGCACTGCTCTGTATGGAAAAATGATTGAAGATATTCAACGATGAAGTAAGTATGTAACAGTGAAGTAAAACATTGAAATCTCTTTTAGAACTGCGAGAAATCTAGGACTGAGTTAGAAAGAACACGACAAGGAAGTGAAGATAATGAGGAGATTAAAGAAAATATTGAGTTTTACACAGACAACATTAGTGGTCTTAATGCTGAGTTGAGTGAACTCAGGAGTGAGTATAAACCATGTTTAATTATAGCAAGAGTCTATTTTACAAGTTTTGAAGTGCTTCATTCTTAGTGTTAATTGTTTAAAAACACACCACATTGAATGAATATACAACATAGAAAACATAAAAGATCTCCCAAATATTATTTAAGATAATTAAGAAATTTACTCATGTACTCTGACAGAAAATCTGGTGGAGCTGTGTCCTGAGGAGGGAGATTTAGAGGCTCAGAGAGAGGCTGAGAGGAAGAGGAAGGAGGAGGAGGAAAGACAGTGGGAGGAGGAGAAGAGGAGAGCTGAGGAGATGAGAGAGAAGCGAAGAGAAAAGCGAGGGAAGGTGATAGAGGAACTGATACAGACAGAGAAAGACTTCCAACACAGTCTGGGTCTGTGTATAGAGACATTCCTGTCTCCTGCTGCAGAGAGGGTAGGCAGAGTGTTACTGAAAGAAAGGAAATTTCTTTTGGGGGTGCTATGGGGTTGTTCAGGGTCAGTAATGTAAGCAGGTCTCATTTATGGCTTAAAGGGAGTAACTTCTAATATATGGTGAATGAAAGAAGTTAAAGCTAAATATGTAACTGGATATGACATGGACATATATATACTGTATGACTTGAAATTGGCAGCACCCTGAGGTAGATCTGTCTGTGTTAATGGGGAACATTGAGGATGTGGCAGACATATCACAGAGATTACTGAGTGCTCTGGAGGGGGCTGTACAGGGGAAAGACTTTGAGGAGGAGGTCATAGGTAAATAGTCTTATTACACAGTGTAGAAAAGCCTTATAAAACATTTAACTATCTGATGTATCCATGTAGATTGACCTCAGCAATGATAGTTATGATTCTATTGAAGGACTCTTTCATGCAATATCATTTAAATGAGAGATTTGTCAAAAATATTTTAATATTCTATTGAAATATAACTCATTCAGTTTTGCATATAACCCAGTTTTTATTATTAAAAAAAGAAAGGTCAGACAACTTTTCAAAATTTCCTTAGCAGTAAACTAATTAGATGTATTATCTCAAGGTTCAAACCAAATTGATCCTTAAAAATTACAAAGAGGACAAAGTTTTTAGAACTTATGTCGTACGAAACGTTGTCGTAAAAATTGGGTCAAAATAAACATTTTTAAAAATTTAGCAATATGTTTCTTTACAAAGAATTTGTTACTATGAAAATTCACTGATGTGTTTAAATATCTTTATTATTATACAGAAGATGCATTATACAGGAAAACAGGGTTGTGATGAAATCTAAATATTTGAAATAAGCATGGACTGTGCTTTGAAATGATTGATTATTCACATATTTGACATTCTTTTAGGTGTGTGTTTTGTGGTGCTATCAGAAGACATGAAAACTGCCTTTGCTCCATACTGCCGTAACCATGATGAAGTGATCACACTGCTAGAGAAGGTAGAAAAAAAACAGGCCAAATGTTACTCACTTATCTTAGTCTAGAAACTGAGTACATGATGTTTCATGTGCCAAACAGTATTATGTGATGTTTAATGCCAGTTACATGTAGTTTGAATGTGATTTCATACATGTAAAATTGTTAGCTGTTTTTGAACACTGGTGCACTAATTAGGGCCCCGCAAGGATTTGTTTTGAAGTTAAGGTCAAGCCTGGGTGATATTTGCATTCACTGAAGGCTGGTATTTTAGAAAACACATGCTTCATTCTTCTTTGAATATACATTTAATTGAGTTATTATAGATATGATGTTTTTTACTACCTTATGTAAATACAAGGATGCTATTTAAAGGTTGTTGGATATTTAGCAGTTGCTGTTCCTTATTCTTCTTTATATATTTTTAAATTTTTGTAATCAAGTAAAATTCTCATCCCCTAATTTGCACTTTTATATTTCTACCCCTCGGCGGGGCCCTTGCTGACTGGTCAGATTTCTAGTTTAAATGCCGTGTACAATTACAGTATGAGGAAAGTGAGTCCATCATGGGGTACATAAACAAGATGTTGGACAAACTTCGACAGAAGACGGTGGTGTTTGATCTTGGTGCCCTCCTTATTAAACCAGTCCAGAGGATCCTCAAGTATCCACTGCTGCTTAACGAACTCTTCAAGGTCAGTAAACAGCATACAAAAGAAAAAATCATCCCTGTATAATACTTTACTGTATACTGATCTTAAAGAGGTTTGTACTGAGCACCTTTCTCTGTGACTATAGTCAGCAAAATGCATGATCCTCAAAAAACATCTATTCACTATGTGTGATAATTAATAGAAATATCAACAGTAGTAATTTATGATTGTGTTGATAAGTCCATGACTTGCAATGTGTTCCAAATTTTGAATTTGTTGCAGCTACATGTAATACTGTGAAATCATTATTGTTTGTGGGGGATCAATGTTCATAGATTTCGTGGGCAACCCTTACCCACAAATCTACATCCCCATGAACATTGATACACACACATGTATACACTGAACACAGTAGATTTATCTCTCTTAATAGTAACTAGTACTAGTAAAATTTTGGTTGCACACGAACATTGACCCCCCCTCAAACAATGATGATTCCACAGTTAAGTAACAATTTTGTTTAACACAGAAAATACATTTGTGGTGAGGTTTGTCTGTCTTTCCCAAGCAAAGACTTTACTTGCTTTTGATCAGAGTGTGATATGCTAATGGTGTTTCCATTGTTTTAATGGCTTACAGGCAACAGAGGATGACCATCCAGACAAGAAAGAAATTCTGACTGCCATCAACGCCATGACTGATGTAGCATCAGCCATCAATGAATACAAACGCAGAAAGGACTTAGGTCAAACAACCAACAACTTACATTTATACATGTTTATGTATTTAAACAATCTCAGAGGAAAATGAAACTAAGATATAATATTATTTGTTTTTCACAGTGTTCAAATATAAGAAAGTTTCAGATGAGTCTTTTGGAGACAAACTTGCCAAGCTGAGCTTCCACACTATAAAGAAAAAAGGCAGCAGGTTCAAAGGTCGAATTAGTACAAATCTGGGACTTCTGCTGGTAAGTGAATATAACTGTACACAAGTTTTATAAAGATTTGATTGTATGGGAAGCTTAACTTCATGTACATGTACCTGGTATATTTAAGGAATCACTGTCTAGTGTGTTGGGTATGTCAGGCCATTAACAACAGTTGCAAATGTAAATTATAGATTATCCCATGTTTCCAACTGTCATTGATGTCCCTAGCATATCCAAGAAACCAGACAGTGATTCCTTGTATTTACATTTATAATGATGTAAAATAAAATAAAAAAATTCTGACTTATAGATATGAAATACACATGTTAATTTTCATAGCCACTGCCCACTGATATCTAACGCAGTGACGGCTGCGGAAAATTGACATGCGTATAAGGCACTTGACCTTTCACTTGGCGAAATTTATGTTCAATTGTAAATATTGAGGAATCAACACAATTAAATTTCAAAGAGTTATCACATAGAGAAAAAGTTGGAAATGTAAATATTTGCAGATAAAGGATGATGACTTTGACAAAGAAGAGCTAAAGTTTAGACAACTGGAGAAGATGGTGAAAGTCTTTATAAGAAATACACAGATATATATGGACCACTTACAGGTAAACAGCTCGTCTTATTTCTGTATTTCTTTTGTTTTGCAAGTTGCTGTTCAGTAAATTGGTATTTGAAATGTGTTTTTAAAGTTAAATTCATTTCTTATTTCTATTTTAAATTGAGTTGACTGATATGTTGAGATTGTTGATTGATTATGTAGGAGTCTGTGTCCTGTCATGAGTGCATGGTGGCTGACCTGGCAGATTTTTACGATGATCGACAGAGTAATGCAGAGATGCAGAAATACCAGGAGGCCCAGGAAAATCTGGATAGAAAGCATCTTCCCCTGTTTGTATGTACAGATTTTGCTCGAATTGCCATTTTATGGTGGAGGACACTGATCAATTGTTTAGTCTAAAATACTAAAATTTTGTAATTTGTAGACAGATTTTCAATTCTGAAAACTAGGTTTTGTTGTGTTTGACAATTGTAGCAAGAGACAGTTAGGGACCTGGTGACCTCCCCTTTGAACAGACTGATGTCCCTGTTTGAGGCCCCTAACAAAGTGATACAGAAAAGGTTTGACAAACTGCTGGACTATGACTCCATGCAGAGGAAAGTCACTGATGGAAGGGTGAGGAGGAAATGTTTAAATGAAAATCAGTCAACTTTGTAAGACAGTGTGATGTGCACAACATCCACTTATAAGCAATAAAATGTTTTCTTTTTTTCCTTTATGCTGTAAATTTATTTATCATGATGCAGACAGTCATATATACATAAAGAAAATCTTAGTTTAAATGTGCTACAAGTTTTATTATTTACACCTCTGCTATAAAAGTATGCACTATTTTGATATCATTAGATGCCAGAGAAAGCCCTGCAGCCAGTTAAGAGTGACTACGAGGGACTGAATGCCCAGCTTCTGGACGAGCTTCCTAAGCTGTATAGCTTATCCCTCCATCTCCTACAGGACTGTATTGCAGCTTTTGTCCAAGCTCAGAGAGAGTACATCAACCAGAGATCTCTCCAGCTGTCCGATACCCTGGATGTAAGTGAATTCACTAACAGGCAGTTTTTAATGGTATATGTGTACATTTTCTTTTTTGGTAGCAGAAATTGATAAGAGTCAGTCATACAATTGATTGTTTGTTTGATTAGAGTTTTAGTGTGCCTGCACATTGTTATTTCCACTTTGGTGTTGTTTGTCACACGGTAGTTTTATTTCGGATGTAGTAGTGTGTGGTAGTCTATGGATGTGGTTTTTATTATCATCCAGTTGTTAAAAGAAGTTGTCATCTGTTCCTAATGTTCTTAAGTGATAGAATTTCACATCTTTTGCATATTTGAATTACTGGTAATATCATTAATTGTCATATATAACTAATCATTTTATAATTGATAAAATTAATATTTTATTATGCTTGACTTTTTTACATTTTATTGTGCAAATCTGTGTAATGTGATATGTTTATAATTGCATATTAATAGTTATATATCTAATTTTGATATACTTTGCTTGTGTATAACACCATTTTGTTTACATATTATAGTTATATATCTAATTTTGATTTATTTTGCTTGTATACAACACCATTTTGTTTACAGAAAGTCACTCAGCATGAAATAGAAACTAAATCTCAATCACCAAACTTATCTACTGTAAGTCAGTCATCCAGTAGCGCTACAGCATCATTTCTATCCACCATAAACTGCAAGACACAGCTGTCTGCGCAACTTGTGCTGCTAGGTCAAGGGAGATAAATTCTGTTGCTTTGCTTGGCAATCACATATTAGTTATATTTCATGTGCATGCTCTTAGGCTACATTTGCTTGAGTAGAAATTTCAGGTGGAGGCAGCCAAACTAGGCAAAGAAGACAGCAAGTTACAGCACATTTACTCAGCTTATTTATCAAAACAGATTTGGAGAGGAAATGCATGAAATTTGGACTTATAAATTGCATATTCAAATGTTCAGACTGTCATACATGTAGTTTGAGATTAAAGTTGCATGGTTTTGATTCGAGTATTTATTTCAAAGATTTAAGAGGAGTGACATGAATGAATTGATAATTTATTTTAAATGATTTATTTGAAAATTAATCATTTTCATGAAAATATAAATCTAGTTTATGTAATTTTAAGACATTTATATGCTCTGGTATTGGTGACTTTATAAATGGTTGAAAATTATTAATAAAAGTACATCCTTTCTTCATAGTATATCCTTTGCACATTATCTGTAGGCATTGCAGTAACATTTCATACACTGTACCCTGCTGTTACATTATTATCGTGCTATTTATAGCTTCCATCCCTGCTCTCTTCCACTGACAACCTGATGGAGAACTTCAACATCGGACATGTTGCTGTGGTGGACAAGATGTCCTGTCTTAGCTTTATACCTAAAGGATTTAACCCTAAAGTGGATGCTCTGAAACAACCAGACAAAAAAGGGAAAAGGCCATCCCTAGTTGTAAGTTTGGGGGGCAGATTTCTCAAAGGTTGCTGAGAATGATACTCTCAAGTGAACAAACTGTAGTTCTTGATGTTTCTGATATACATAGTTGTTCAAAAGTAAAGTAATAGTTTGATACAGATTATTTGAGTTTAAGTATCTTCCTTCTCATAAAAGAGAAGATTTTCTCAAGATATATTTATGACTTGATTAAGAGAGATATTTTCATTGAATTTAACTATCAAGCAGATGTGGTTCAAATCTTATTTTTTGGAATAATTTTGCCAAAAGATATATTTAAAAATACTAAAATTTCAAACATTGTGAAATCACTCATTTTAATGAGGGTTTAAGTTTTGTTGTTTTCATGGTATGAAAAGACCCACTAATTTATGTCTTCCATGAAATGTTACAAGTAAAGAACATGTAAAATGTACATTTTAACCACAAAATCAAAACCCCATGAACCAACATTTTTTCCTTAAATTAATGATTTAAAACAGAGGGATTGGGTTCATGGGTTTGTCCTGTGCTTTTATAGGAGGAAATGGCCAGTTCTCAGGCTCAGAGTCAGAAAGTGTACCTTCAGCAAAAGTTCCCAGCAGAAAAACTATACAGGGTGTTACAAAATTACACTGCCAGTGATCTGATGGACCTTTCCCTCAATGCTGGGGATCTGGTGGGTGTTGTTCAAGACAAGGATCCCATGGGGAACAAGGACAGGTGGTTTGTGGACAATGGAGGTGAGGGACTCTCTTTACTTTTCATTTTTATTTTGTTAAAAAATATTTTATGACAATGCTATATGTGAGAGGAACTCAATTATGGTAGTATAGTTGTACAAATCACAATATGTTTAAGACTCTGAACAGACACAGTTTTTGAGAAAATGTTTATTTGACAGCTGCTAAAGGGTTTATACCCTCACGACTCCTCCAGTCTTATCAGTCCTCAGATGTCACAGTCAGTGAAGAAGCCAATCAGATTTATCCTAACATCCCTGTACCAACATCACCTCTGTCACCCACTGTGATTGGTCAAAGACAACGTCTGACCTCTACTGGAAGTCAAGGGTCAACAAGTTCATGTGCAGTCAATTATCAAAGTTCAACCTCAGTGGATGGTGGTCAGTTATCATCTCAGAGGTCACCAAAGCAATCTACACTGATCAGTCAGAAAAGCCTAAGCAAAGAGTTAGATGAACTTTTAGATGAAGACATGACCCCTGACCTACCTACAGTAGAGGATTCTATCAAGCATGAATGTGAAGAGGTAGTTACAAGACCTTTTCTGTAATATTCAAACAATTTTTTGCCTGTTGTCTCATTTATGCCCAGTACTTATGTATAAGTTAGACAGTAAAGGCATTTCTTGACCTTTGTTTTCAGTTTTACTATGCTGAGTATGCCTTCCAGTCCCGTGCAGCCAATGAAGTGAGTTTGTTTGAGGGACAGGTTGTGACTGTGTACGTCAAACATGATGAACAGGGTAACAGTGAGTGGTGGTATGTAGATGCTGATGGGGTCAAAGGTTATGTTCCATCTAATTACTTACAGCCAATGAGCTGACAGGATCGATCAATGGACAGAGGTGAATCTCTGAAGGCAACCAATCAATGTGCAGATAACAAATGCATCACAGTTTTTTTCCCACAATTTTGAAGAAATACAATTTTTAATGATTAATGGAGAAATGAATTTGTCAATGTGACAGTCCATCCTCTAAGCTAGTCTATAATGTTCAGTGTGTTAATGTTTTATTTTTGAGTGCTGCATGTTAATTAATGAAAGTTCCATTCGTGTATTGTAATTTTTTTAAACTTACCAAAGACGACCTACTTTTTATGTAAAGTAGCATGAAACTTTGTATATGTACATTTTATTTTCATTCCATGCTAACAGGTTTGGGAATTAAATTTCATTTGCATCTATTCTTGAAGAAAATTTTTTAAGCTTGTAAAAATGTTCAGCAGAAAAAGATGCTTTATCAAAGTATGCATAAAAATTCTTGTTTTTAGTGCTTTTATGTGAAGGGTTAATATAAATATATATACTTGTATATATATATAATTTTTTTTGGGGGGGGGGGGGGGGAAGAATATAGGAAGATTTTAAATGGGAAACTCATGAAAAATGTTATGCTGGCATAATTGTGTTGTAATACATGTACTGAAAATTTATACATATTTATTTTAAGACATATTTAAGGCTATTAATGTTTTGTTTACCTGTATCTTGGGTGTACAGTAAAACTCATTAAGTATGAACACAGATATAATAAATTTACAGAAAAAGCAATAGGTTTTAAGGATTCCTGGCAAAATTCTTTACGATTCCCTGTAAATTTTACGATTAGGCCAAAAAAAATTAATCAATAGTTTCTCAGGCACCGCCGCATTAGGTCAAACACTGCCGCATTGATCAAATGTATTGACATATTGAAAAGGGAAATAACTCAATTTTCTATTTTTCCAAGCTGAAAAAGAAAATTGAGTTATTCCCCTTTTCATAAGTGCTAATAGACGTTTTTATTAGATAAACAATACATTTCTTGTTAATACAGTAGTTTATGAATTAAATTTGTTTGGAATAACATTATTTAAAGTTGAATGCATATTATTCAATTCAATTCACTTTATTGACAATTACCATGTCGGCATACAGTCATGACATAAAACGAATTAACAAGAATAATACATACATATTATAATTAATGAGAGAACCGAAGAAAAAAAAAAAAAGAATCAGTTGATATCATCATTTTGTTGAACAGCTGACATGAAAAAAAGGTAACAGCTGCTTCCAAAAAAAAAAAAAGAAAAGAAAGAAAGAAAAAAAAGAACCTGCCTGCCCCATTGAATTTTGAAATTTTTGGCCTGAGAAACTATTTATTTATTTTTTATGGCCTTATAACATATCTGATATAGCAAATTTACAGATATAGTGAACTGAATTTTTTTCCCTTAGAGGTTTGAAATAATGAAATTTACATCTCCTGTACAAATTTTCAAAGATCTCAAAAGCTAGAGTATTGAACTGAACTGACATAAATTTTTTGAAAGTATTTATATTTGAAATTCAAATTCATATGAAAACTTTATTAGTTCAAGGTGAATTTTGTATATAATACTTCCATCAATATATTCCATAGGGAAAAAAAATCTATATTGCAAAGTTGATACATGTGCTATAACAAATTTTCATATGGGTATAATGAATTACAGATATAGATAATAGTGAAGTAAATTTGCAGGTCTCCGGGAGTTCGTTATGACCAAGTTTTACTGTGTACCTAAATTATCCTTGTATATTTATATGTGTATTCATTTTAATATTTGGTATTCTAGAACATAAATCAAAAACAAGGTAGACATACACTGTACATGTACATTTAGGTTTTGTTCTTCAGTCATTTGCATAATGTTGAGAGAGTACAACTTTTAGTTATTAATTAGATATTCCATTAATTTTTTTACTTTGTGATAAAGGGTAGCTCTGTTATTTATGATGTTTATTGGAAAGGTATGTCTTTGCATTATGAATTTTTCATGTTTTACAACTGATAGTAATGATTTTTCAGCCTGAGATTATTAGATTGGTTGATTTTGAATGTGACAGCTGTGGCATCCTATAGCGGATGGACATTAGACTTTGTATGGCTTGGATTATAGTGTGGTGCTTTCAAGCTTTCTGTGATAATTAGCCAGAGATAGATGTAAACTATTGTAACTCAACTTGCATTTACACCTTGATTATCAGGTAGAAGATGTGTAGTGTTTCTTTGTACTGGTACACTATATATAATGAAACATTATTAATTAACAGTTAGTCATATACATCAATGCATTGCTTAAAGATTTTAAGAGAGAATTAATGAATTATTTGTAAATTTCCAGCTTATCTTTCACCAAGCAAATGCCCATTTTTTTTGTAATAGCAAAATTTATTTACATGCAAGAAATATCAACAAGGGTCATCACTCTTTCACTTTATGAAAAGTTTTCATTGTGAAGGAGGATGTTTTAGTAAAATTATTTATTGGAGATGAATCAACACAATTAATTATATTGTAAAGAGCTTGTCTTCGTGATACTATACAGTTACAATTAATTAATTTGTCCAGAGAAACATGGCACATGTAATTATATGAATATTCACAAGTGTTGAAATTTCTTAAAAATTTCGTTGATATCTTTGAACAAAACAAAACAGCTGGAATCATTTTACGCCCATTCTCCTCTCTTTCCCAGGAAAACTTGTAGATATGTATTATGAAACAAGCATGTAGTGAAATTAACAAGTGCAATATATATATATCACCCTGCCACTAACAGGAATGTTACCTTGTAATGTATCATAGATCAGGAGATGTATCTACATGTATTTGTTAATCTTATCTTTCTTTTGGTTTAAAAATTAAGGATGTGTTTCCATTTGTTAACTATGGTCTTTCCTGTAGCTAGTATCTAATATTAAAATTTTTCCATTGTTTGCAAATTTTCCCTTTCATACATTCCATTGTTGTTAGTCAGTATGCTATTTTGCAATTTAATATCCATTTACATGATTATTTCAATTAGGGCAAATGATTTTTTTACTTTATATGCATCTTGGTTGTATAGTGCTTTTATATTAAGGTAGTGGGCTCTTTTTTAATCTTTTTGGTATGGACTATTTTAAATGTATTAACATGAATTTTTTAAAATGTTGATGTTCATGGACACATTAAAAAAATAGTGCAGATGTCTGTAAAAAAGTAGAAATTCTCTGATAACAATATTAAAACCAATAAGTACCTGGGTATGTACTCTTAGAATTTAATCACATACAAAGGACTTTTTTTTAATTACCATACATATCACTACATTTCTGAAATGGATCATCTTTCAGTAAACTTTCACTTGGATTTGATTTTTAAACAAGGAAAGACAACTCTTGTTACACTATCATTTCAGTCTAGATGTATGTGAAAGGGGGGGGGGGGATTCAAATCTGAACAGATTTGCTTTATGATAATTATTGCACTTCCAGGTATAATCATATTTTAGTTTTTCTGAACAAAAAGATAGATCTTTACCTGTGACATATACTCAATACCTTAATCTGTAGGAATGAGTTCTAGACAAAAAAAAATCTTTTTCATTGTATGTATAATATTTAAAAGGATGTTCCACACTTAAAGGGTATATAGCAGTATTAAATATATTAAAAACATATATTCAATTATCTACTTTTATGCAGGACAAGTTAAATGTGTACAAACCATATTTGGTTGTAACTTCTGTATCAATGGAATAGATTAACCCTCAATTTTTCTTTCGAGGTGTTTTGGAGACAACATTTTTTAATTATTTTCTATATTTTTTTATATCCTTTTTTGATAGAAGAAGAAAAAAAATAATTTATATGTTGCTGCTGAAATTTGTCTACCTGATACTGGTATGTAGAATGAACCTAATCCACTTCAATCAAACATGTGCATGAAATGTTTTAACTAAAAACTTCACAGTTGGTATATACAAGTATATACAAGTAAATGTATGTTGTGAAACAAGTTGTATTTACATCTAGTTGAAGAATTGCTGATTATTTTTCAAAAGCATTTTGATACGTCTTTATTCAATGTAAACTTTTTGTGTATTGTAAAATCTCCCACTTGCTTACTCATTGCTCAGATAGTTATAAATTGAGAATAAAACATGTTTTACTCACTTTATCTATGTAATTTTTTTTCAATGTTATTAAGGACATTATTTTTACAGCCATTATGTACCCTTCTTTATTGAGAAGTGGGAATATTTCTTAATTGAAACCTTACAACTATGTGGGAGAGAGAGAGAAAAAGATGTACTCTGCAGACTATAGAAGAAATAATGTTTTATCTCAGCAAATTGTACTGGATGGGTATAAGGAAGTTTTTATACTTTTGGGGGAAAAAAGTTTGCAGATAAAATATACAGTAAGGTTATGTAGGAATCAGCTGGTAGTCTTGTTGTAAACTCTTTGTCAAAGTATGTAGTCGGTGAATGCACTACTTTTCACTTTTATATTCTTGATAACTTTCTCCTTTCATCACCTACAGCTCAAATGTCTTAGAATCATGCATCTTTTCAAAAGGTACATAATGTGGAATGATAAATTTGATTTTTTTATAGGCCTTTGTTGACTTTAATAATTGAAATGCCATCTTTCTTTTGCTGTAAACAAGCACCTGTTTAGCGTTAAACTTTCGTCTACCTAGACACACAGGAGGGTACACACACAAAAAAAAATAGTCCTCCACATTTTATCATTTTGTTTAATGTGTCATACCTCATTTATTAGCTGTTTTCCCAAGGTCATACTTTGATATATTTTGTCATGTCATGACACTTATAAAGATTCCTACAATTTGGTTTTAAAAATTGTACATGTGTTTTTTATTGATACCTGAATGCTACACATTGTTAGCTTGAACTTGACGGTATGATGTTGGGTTAAATGTTTCTAAGATCAGGAATCAATCCTGATCATTGTGCAGTAGTGCAGATTGCTATTTTGAGGTATACGTAAATATTGATTATGTTCTTTTGTCTTAATTAGATTGATTGAGGATAAATTATATGGCAGACAGCACGATTTTGATATTTATCAGTCAATACTGGGGTGTGTCAGATACAAATCTATAATTGATAAGACAGACGACCACAGGCTGATTTTATGACGGTCCAATTTCATTTGGTGCAAAGATTCCTCTATAGTTGATTTTTTTATTTTTGAGTGTTTGTTATTGATTCGATCAGCATGGATAGATATTTCATTGTTATTTAGGAGTAAAATGTCACTTTTAAATGATGCTTTAGGTAGAAATTGCTGGAACAAGATTCCTTTGTATGGCAAAGAAAGATTGAATTCAATTAAGTGATTAAGTTTCAAGAATTTGCACACTTCATGTGTATTAAATTTTGGCGAAAGTTTAAGTGCATTTTCCATAAATAAATCTCATTTTCAAGTATATCTGTCCACAGGTTTAATGTTGTCACATGAAACATTATTGCATAATTTCCCCCACAAGCCCCATATTGTTTTGTAGTCTAAGTAATGTATATATTTTGTTTGATCGGTTTGTTCTTCTAAAGTATATAGGTTTAACTTTCCATTAAATTTTGGGACTGGCTGTTTATCGCTGTTTATAGATGTTTATTTAATTATGAGCCAAATTTTACCTAGTTTTGATGAAATGATACTCAATGCTGCCTAAATTTGATCAGTGTCATTACATACCAAAAGGTTCCGGATTACAAATCATAATTAATAGCTCGTGTAAGCCTTTACAGTACCAAACTGATCTGGAGTCTTCTATGCGTTTATCAAGCATGGTAGATTAGACATTGATTAATTGTATATCTAGTGTTTGAATGTTTAATTTACCAGAAATGGGCTCTAAGCACAATGTTAACCTCTACCTTAGATGAATCAATTGTAATAGCGTACTTCCATTAGAACTTGGTATAGACGGGGACCGTTACTTGGGTACTAATCTCTTCACATTTTAGTGTGACTCCAGTGTTGTTTTTGTTGGATATTTATGTCTAATTTTCCATTGGTTTCCTTAATGACTATTCACCTATGCTGTTTGCAGTGACTGGTTTTATGTGAAGAGAAGGTTATTTTGTTGTCCAGGGGTGATAAAACTTTTGGTAAAAGTCAGAATTGATCCTTATAGATCCCCGTGAATTGATTTTTCTGGTAGGATGGTGATTGGAATTTTCCTTTTTAGATTTTTTTAATTTGAAAGTCATTGCAAGTGAAGAAAGAAAGTCCTAAGAATGCTCTTTTGCATATCTATTCAAAACCATGATCAATAATTTTTACGAGGAAAATAACGTAAAGAACTGGTTTTATCATAAGCAAGACAGGAAATTCAAAGTGAATTTTTTTGTCATAGTTTTTGAAGAACTGATAGTTTCTTTTTAAATGCAAGAAAAATCAAAGTAGTGAATTATGAGAGATTTATTATTGTTGTAAACTTAATGGTGTAAAAACTGTCATATCTGTATTATCAAATGGCAGAACATTTAAATGAAAAAAGGCGTGCAGTGAATTTCTTAAGTATTTAATCCAACCATATCTTAATTTAAATCCATTAATTCATACAAACTATTGGTCCCATATAGTAAGATTTAAAGGTCCCCTGATTTACTAAGGATTTCAGAGGTATTGTTATGGCCCTACAAGCTATAAATATTTGCAAACTTCAGAAGTTTTGAATAGAATCTAAAACAGCGAAACATTTAAGATAAGTAACAGTAAAAATGGCAATGAACGGCCCACTCAGGGTGGAAAATGTAACAGCCTTGTGTACTGTCGCTGAGCTATGTGGTAACCGGTCAATTTAAATTTGTGGATGTAACTGTTGGAGGATTCAGTTAAAGATGAGGGCGTGAGAGGAAATGTTTCATTTAAAGTTTCCCAAATTCAGAGGATTTTTTACATGGGAAGAATTAGGGTAAGTTGCTAATAAATTGATTTTTCTTTTCATTTATAATTTGAACTTGACTGTTGAATTATATGGTACTATAAGTATAATTGTTTTAGTACTAAAACTACATCTGTTCCATGTATGTTGGATTTTAAATCAGCTGAGTTTAGATTTCAGTTTTTTTTTTTTTGAAATTATAAGACTGGAATTAATATTCCTTATGTTATATAAATATGGATTAATAAAGACATAGTAAATACTAACAGAAATATGCAGTTTTTCTTCATTGCATTGATTCTGTTGCATTATATCTATCTTAATTTGTTCATATATTTATCTCTGAAACTTAATGACAGCTAGTATTTCAATATATATGTGTATCATAATCAATTTATTGATTTAATATTAATTATATTTGTAGTATTATTTTTATAATTTATCCAGAACTTTAAAAGAATATTGTTCATAGGAAAATCAATACATTCTTCCATTTGAAAAATAACTTCTACAGATTCTAATTAATGGAAGGGATCCCAATTACTGTGTTGTGTTGTCGTACATTTATTGGAAAAGTTAGTATGAAATATAGATTAAAACTGAGATAATTAACTTTTTAAAAAGATTTTATTTCTTCATTACTTTATGTTGACTTCCATTTTATTTGTCAATTATTTTATTTAAGGAATGAATATAAAAGTTACACATTAAGTTATACATTAAGTTATTACCTGGGTTAGGGCAGTTAGTAAGTTTATGCTTAAGCTTTATATATACAACAAAACAATTAAATTATAAAAAAGCATAAACTGTTCCAACCCAGACAAAAATGGCATAAAAATGTACAAAATTTAAACATAATGGCAAGTTGATTGATACATTTTGGATGCAAATCATAAAGTGACAAAGGCAACATAGCTACATAAAGGTTATGCAGAATAAACTTAATTTTTCTAACCCAATCAAATAGCATGTTACAACCAAATTTGATTATAATTAAATATTTTACTTTATTTTTCAGATGCTTAGCCCGAGCTCTGGGAGTAAGTATATGTTTTTTATCAGAGCATGTATATAAGTACAGATCTAGAATCTGCAGTGGAGTCTTGTTAATCAAGATGCTAATTATCTGGACACTTCACCTTTTGGATTACATTTGTGGCGAACAATTTATACTTGAATATACAAAGTATGTTTCATTAGTCTGGATTCTTCATTTATCTTGACAATCTGCTCAGTAACACAAAGGTCTGGATTAATGTGACTCGACTGTAATTTTTAAATTTTGAAGTACATGTATATGTCCAGTATTTTATAAGGCTGCTTAATAGGCGTAGCAGATCTAGAACAGAGCTAATCTTAATTTTTCTCACTGCATATTTTAATGTATAAATAAATATAATAAAGTCATTATATTCAGCTTTAGTTGTTTTTAAATGGATTTAAGGTATATTTATACATTTGAAGTTTTGTGGATGTAGACTAAGTTTTTCTTTTTTAATAGTTAAGATTTTAATCATTGGAAAAGCCTATAATTTTTTTTTTAATTCATTTAAAGTGAATTAGTACTTATCCAAAATCAACTGGAGGTCAACCTGTTTTAAAACTAACATAAAAACTTGATTATCACTTGATATGATTAAATATAAACACTACGAAATTAAATCGTCTTAAGTGTCCGAGTGTAAGTCTACATCAGGAACAAGGCAGAGTTAATCTTCTACCTCTAGCAGGACAATAGGTGTGTTATATACAGGACAGTCTGCAGTGGTGGTAATATGTACAGTCATTATAAAACATGTGCAGTTTAATCCCTATAAACTAAAGGATTAGCCCTAATGACTTTATTAATTTATTAAACATCTGCATATTATTGTGCTTAATCTTCTTTTTAGCAGATTAAATTTTTGAAGGAAAATTTAATTGATTTAAAGATGATTCATGATTTTATACCTCCTGCAATGAAGTGACATACTTTTGTTGCTGCACATGACCTACATTTTGTGCCCCAGTGCAGATTTGTTGAAAATCGTCGGTCCTGCATGTCCACAAGGCCGGTAAAAATTTGTCTGGACCAATAACTTTGAAGACGTGGGTCCAAATGACCATTTGAAAAAAATTGAGCATGACGCAAATTTTAAAAATATTGGGATGCGCAGGTGAAGGTCACAAAAATAGCAGAGATGGCGCATGGTGACGATGGTCGATTAAATTTGTTACAGCAATACATAATAACGTCATTTATTTCTCTGATTAAAGGCTCTCTATCCAAGAAAAGAAACTTTTGAGACTGAAGGCTGTTGAAAATAATAAAGGGCATTTTTGTGCAGTTATTTTTTTTCCTTTCTCAGCATCAAAATAAGGTACATGTACATGTATCTGGTCTGATAAAACTTTGTCCATCTGTCGGAACATTTTACTTTCTTTTTTTTTTTTTCAGACCAAATGTCTGACAGTGATTTCAAAATTTTGACAAGTCTGCCAGTGACTTTCAAATTGGTAAAATGGTCAAACCCAATATTAAGCCCACCCAGCATTTAGGTCACTCTCTGGCTTATTTCAAGTGATGTCCAAAGCAAACTTGCAGCTTAGATGTATCTGTGGATACTAAGTTTGATGCAGTGTTCAAGAGGCTGCATTTGACCTACATTTTGTTTGTGTGACTCGACATTCTGGACAGAATTTAGTCCAATTCTTAGCTTATTACAAGTCTGTCAGTAAGATATAGTGTCTGTCTTTGACATATTCTTTATGACAGTCAGACAGGTTCGATCGCCGTTGGCCAGATAGCTCAGTTGGTAGAGCGCCTGACTGGAGGTTCAGGGAATCTCATATCCTGGTCTGGTCCGGCACACTTTTTTCCTTTCCTGTTACATTTGTTGCCATGCTATGCCCTGTACATAACAGGTGAAAGACCTGCCAGGGAAGAACCTGGGTTGGTGTCTTTGGGGCCAAAGATCTTAAAGGAGGGAGGAACTTGACAGTCAGACATTCAATTGTCGGTTGCCAGATAGCTCTGTTGGTAGAGCATAAAGACTGGTAGCTCATTCGGTAGAGCACTCACTCCATGATCGGAAAGTTGTGGGTTCAAGCCCCCATCACAACAAACCTAAGTCAACGTAGAATAGGTAGCAGCTGTTTCTTCCCGAATCTCTTGGCACCTTGAGTCAAAGTTGCAGATTTTTCTGATGAGACCTTAAAAACTGAGGCCCTGTGTCACGGCAGGCATTGGCATGCTAAAGAATCCTCACTGCTCATTTGCTCTGAGTGCCGAGTAAGGTCTAAATTTGGATCCTTTCACTGGTATCTAGTACCATCTCATATGAGTGAGATAATCTTGCTAGGATCGACTTAAAACTGCAAACATTCAATCTATCAACCTTTCATAGTTGTTTCAAGTGAATAAGGCCACACACCTCCTTGATATAAGTTACAGAGTAAATGTTACAATATGTAAAAATACATGTATAACAATTAACTGTAGTATTAGTTGAATATTTTTTGAATATTTTCAAACAGAAAAAAAAATAAAGCATGGGTGAAGAATTCATTCTGATATTGGACTTTGTACTTTATATATGATCAATGTGTATGGAAATGAGACTAATTATGTGATACATGTAATATGAAGACAAGGGAGATGTATACATATGGAATGGAATCTCTTTTTACATCAGATTAATGTGCACTTTCCTGTGTACACAATGTGCAGTATATGAAATAAATGGCCAGTTCGTGTGATCAAACATTGACACAGGGCTTAAGGGAAGCTAATTGTTTTGGCAGATTTATAACACATGATAATTCACATCAAAGTTGTCTCGGGGTGCTTGGTTCAGACACCTGTCTAGAATCCTCCATTGCCCACCCCTTTATGTTCTTTCCCCGATCACTGATTGAGTGGGTACCAACCTTCATAAAACAATCATGATTGACAAATGTAAGGGTATACTTCAATGTCTTTTGTCTAATATGATTGATTTTAGAGAGCTTGTTTCTGCATTAGTAATTTAAAGTTCTTTGACAATGTAATGTGCAAAAGTGACCTTCAATTGTTAAATTGTGTCAAGTTGCACTTTTGAGAAGAGAAAACATCATTTTTATGAATCAGAATGTCTTGTTTTAAGCTTCTTAATTAAAAATCTGTTTCAGTAAAATAGATATTGTGATTTCAATTTTTTCTTCTTTTTTTTTATAGCCTAGGATTTTTTCAAAACTCTGAACAATTTTTTTAAATACATTTACATGTAATAGCTTACATGTCTATATTACCATTCTCGGTGTTCATCTACATGTATCTTATTAATAAATGTTTAAAGTCAGAATTCAGCAAATTCTGTTGTGTGTTATAATGACTTATAATTACTCCATTACCTGATCAAAATAGGTGGCTCAAGTTGGGTATGATGGGTTGACAGGGGATGCTTAATTCTCCTGGGCACCTGATCCCACCTCTGTTGTTTCCAGGGGTCCATGTTTCTGCCCTAGGATGTTCATGAATTGACATGAGATAGATCACTGTTATCTTCAGTTTTTATATTTTTTATACTTAAGTTCTCTGTAACCTTATTATGATTATCTTGCAGTACCCTGTGGATCTCTTTAAGAAGAATGTCAATGGGGCAGAGTTGGTCATTGAAGAACATGGCCTTAGTCTCAAGGTAAGTTTGTAAAAACATAAGGCAGAAACATCATAAGACAGAAGCAAAGGATACAGGTGCCCATAGCACCTTTAATTCAAAAGTTTGTGAAAATAATTTGCGATTTTTAGCTCACCTCAACGAAGTTGGGGGAGCTTATGTAATACCCTCGGCATTGGTGTCGGCGTCCCAGGTTAAGGTTTTTGGAGCAGTTTTCTTTTCAAGTACTTCTAGGGCCTATATTAGTCAGAGATGCATGGAGGATGCTTCTAGTGTGTTTCATTGTACCAGTCAAGGTTTAAGATGCTGCAATTTCAGCTAAAGAATGACCAGGTTAATGGTTTTGGAGCAGGTTCAAGTTTTTGGAGCAGGTTCAAGTTTTTGGAGCAGGTCTCATTTCCAAGTAACTATTAGCCCTATATTGACCAAACTTGCATGGATGATACATTTAAGGATGCACACTACTGGACTTGCTTCGGATGCTGAATCTGACCTATATTTTCTGGATGAGTGACCAGGTTAAAGTTTTTGGAGCAGATGTCATTTCCAAGTATTTATAAACCCTATATTGACCGAACTTGCATGGATGATACATCTAAGGATGTACACTACTGAACTTGCTTCGGATGCTGGATCTGACCTATATTTTCTGGATGAGTAACCAGGTTAAAGTTTTTGGAGCAGATGTCATTTCCAAGTAACTATAAGGTCTATCTGAACCAAACTTGCATGGATGATGCATCAAGGGATGAACAATCTCAAAACTTGCTTCGGATGCTGGATTTGACTTACATTTTCTGGATGAGTGACTAGTTTTAAGTTTTCAGATAAGTCTATTCCCAAGTAACTGCAAGCCCTATCAGACCAAAATTGCATAAATGTTGCATCTAGGGATGCACACACCTAGATTATTAGTTTAGTGTGGGACTTTGCCTTACTTTAAGACAACATTCGTTGAGGTGAGCTCTGTAATCTCTGATTACCTATGTTTTATGCTGCCTATTGTTTATAAAGAAATCCATTTCTCATGGGCACAAAGTATAGAATATTTGACATTCATGTGATAGTAGCCTATATGACTGAACTTTTTAGGTAGCCTTGAAACTTTTTGGAGGAGGTTCATTCCCATGTAACTATAAGATCTACTCTGACCAAACTTGCATGGATGCTTCATCTAACTTAGGTCAGACTACATTTTCCAGGTGATTGAACAGGTTAAAGGTTTTGGAGCAGATTCATCATTAGGAATTCAATAGTCTTATTCTGGCTTAACTTGCTTGGATGTTACATTTAGGTGTGCACTCCACCAAATATGCTTTGGATGCTGTATCTTACCTAAATTTTCTACATAATTGCACAGGTTCATTTTGGAGCAGGTCTATTTCCAAGTAACTATTAATAGCCTCACCTGATCCAAACTTGCATGGATGTTGCATTTAAGAATGCACACTACCAGACCTCCTTCAGATGTTCTATCTGATGTGTATTCTCAGTACAGTTGAGCTGTTGAAGATTTGGAGCAGTTCCATTCAGTGCCAACTGGACCAAATGTGCATGAATGTTGCCTCTAAGGATTAGGATGCACATTACCAGAATCTTCATTAAGTGTTAGACTTTACTCATTGTCTTTGATGACCCATGTTTTTTGTTTGTAGGAGGCATACAAGATGGTGGACCATCGATTGCTGGAGAGGGCACTCCACAGAACCTGTAACCTCCACTCCGGAGACTGGAACATGAATGTTGTCAGAAAAAGTCTCTACTTCCTAAGTCATTCAGCCATCACGTAAGTGTCTAGACCATTACAAATTAGTATCTGTATTTCCTCAGTCATTCTGCCATCATGTAAGTGTCTAAGTTATTACAATAGTATCTGTACTTCCTCAGTCATTCTGCCATCATGTAAGTGTCTAAGCCATATTACAATACCGGTAGTATCTGTACTTCCTCAGTCACTCAGCCATCATGTAAGTTCTCGGCCATTACAATAGTATCTGTACTCCTAAGTCATTCTGCCATCACATAAGTGTCTAAGCCATTACAATATCATTCTACCATCATGTAAGTGTCTAAGCCATTACAATATCATTCTGCCATCATGTATGTGTCTAAGCCATTACAATACTCTCTGTACTTCTTCAGTCATTCTGCCATCACGTAAGTGTCTAAGCCATTACAATAGTATCTGTACTTCCTCAGTCATTCTGCCATCACGTGTCTTGACCATTACATTTAATAGCGTCTTTACTTCCTAAGTCATTCTGCCATCACATTAGTGCCTGTGCTGCCTCAGTCATTTTGCATCACAAAAATATCTGTACCTCTCTCTCATTCTGCCATCATGTAAGTGTCTGTACTTCCTAATCATTCACCTTCATGTAAGTATTCATAGTCATCTTCAATATTGTGTGTCCTCAGGCAACATATCTTTTAGGGCTGGTCCACAGGTTAGGTTAACCCAGATCAGCTTGAACTGGATTAACTTAACCCACAATATTTAATTTACATTGTGTCTACTAGCAATTTTTTGAAAATATTACAATATTACATGTACCATAGCATTGCATTATCATGAAGTGATGATATATACAACCATCATTCAGGATTAAATTTATGCACAATTTTTGTTATTATGCATAACTGTTAACTCAGTATGAATGTAGTTTAAATCAAGCTACATTTACATAAAGCCTGGTCCACAATGGACCAGGTACACACCGAGTTAAGTTAATCCAGAGATAACCTGGATTATTGAATCCACTGCAAATCTATTGCAGCTAGGTTAACTTAATGTGAAATAATGATGTCATAGTTGTCATGGTAGCCCAGTGTGGATTCTGAGTTAATCCACAGTTACCAGACTTTATCTGGATTAATTTATAGAGTGAAATGACCTGAAGTTTACCCAACTCATTTCTGAAGTGTGCAAGTCACTAAAAAGTCTTCAATCTAACACTTCACACCTTTATTAGATAAACTAAGTGGATGTCAATGAGGATCATTTTTCCTGTTAACTCGTGATCTAGACAAATATTAGTGGGGCTTCAATTACTTTACTCCCTTATTAAACATACTTAAAGGAGGTGTCAAAAGTCTTATTTTACCAGATATCTCATGATCTAGACAAATATTATGCTTTCTTAAGCTTGGAAAGGGCTTTATTTATAAAATAAAATCATATTGTCATAGATAAGAGTTTTTCATAAATCTTTTCAATGAATAGTGTTGCCATGGTCACTTAAAATAGAAATTTCTTATAAACGCTTCTCCTCCTACAGTTTTGGTCTGATTTTAATATACATGTACTTAGCACACAAGTAGATTACACCGAGATACATAATTGTCTTTATCATTTTTTTTATTTTGATGTTACCATGGTAATTAAAATAGAATTTTCTGTTAAATTCTTTCAAAAGACTACTTATAATCCTACAGTTTTAGTCTGATTGCAGTAAATCTTAAGACAAAAAGAGGCTAAACCAAGGATCATTATTCTATTTAATGCTGTTGCATTTTCAAGTCCAAGTGCTGCTTTTCTCTCCCTTTGTTATATGTACAAACCACTAGAGCTACAGTCTCATCAGAGACTTATGGTTTTCCTCAAATCACTGTTTAAATAAGATTACTGTCTCAACACACTTTTAAAAATTGAAATAGAAAAAAAACCTTCCTGTGGGTATCTGAGTAAACTTACTTATAATTACTAAGTAAGTTGTACATGTATTTCCATTGGTAAGTCTGTAGTAAAATACTTTTTTATGTAACTATTTTATGTTTACAGTATGTCTGTTTTACATTTACAGTATTTATCTGTTTTATGTTTATAGTATGTCTGTTTTATGTTTACAGTATATGTTTGTTTTAGGTTTACAGTATGTCTGTTTTAGGTTTACAGTATGTCTGTTTAAGGTTTACAGTATGTCTGTTTTAGGTTTACAGTATATGTTTGTTTTAGGTTTACAGTATGTCTGTTTTAGGTTTAAAGTATGTCTGTTTTAGGTTTACAGTATGTCTGTTTTAGGTTTAAAGTATGTCTGTTTTAGGTTTACAGTATGTCTGTTTTATGTGTACAGTATGTCTGTTTTAGGTTTACAGAATGTCTGTTTTAGGCTTACAGTATCTCTGTTTTAGGTTTACAGTATGTCTGTTTTATGTTGCTGTACTTTTGTAGGTTTGAGGAGCTTTATAACATCAGAGTGGCCTACCAGGCATTTGAACAGTTTGACATGAAGGGACTGTTGATTGACCAGGAGATTCTACTCAGCAGTATTAAGGTAGGTCCTGGGAAGATTCCGGTTGACCTTCAAGAGTCACAGATGACTATGAATAGCTTTGTCATTACTGCAGCAGTTGTACTGTTGTTGTTTGTGGTAGGACAAAACACCACAAAATCATTTGATTTACTTTCAGACTTTATAAAACATAAATCAATACAAAAGACATAGAATACCACATACTGAAACAGCCGAAACTTTGTATCAGTTAACTGTGACAATGGCTTTTTTTTACGGACTTGATTGCTTAACAATATAGTGCATCACTCAGAGTATGTCTGTTTTGGGAAAACTCCTGTGACTTCAGTTCTGGGAAATTTATTCTTTACTTTGTTTAAATGTTTCTAAGGGGTTGGTATCTCTACAGTGAAAATATGATCTTTCAAGTTTTAAAATCTCTACCTTCATCCTTAGAATCAAAGTTTGTTGATAGGTTGACAAGAGAATCATTTTAATTATCTTGGCATTCAATAGCTTCAAATAGAAAAATGTCAATAAGTTCTTAATCCTTGTATAATAATGTAGGATTTCATTTTAATATTGATAAAAACGTGGCTTTGGTGTCTTTCTTCGTACATATGAAAATGTCTTCTGAACTGTTAAATCTATTGCAGCAATGGAGGATTTTCATTAAGTCTTTGGTAAATGAAATGTTTGAAGTCAAAAAATCTTAAAGTAAATTCAAAAGATTGATTTTTTCACTTTTTTTCTTTTTCCGTTATCAGCATTGCATTAACCTGTCATGCAAATGCAGGATTGTTTAAGAAAACGTAATCTTGTATTCATGTTAATTCACATATTCCTTCCTTGGGCACTTTAAACTTGTATGTGAAAGTGATTGTAATAAAAGCTGAAAATGCATGTGTGCTATTGATATGGTCACCTGGGATATTTAATAGAAATTCTTGTCCCTGCTTCGTATCAACAGCAGGGAGCATGGTGATTAAGACTCTTGTATGGCAGTTCAGCAGGAGCTTATCACCTGTTTATATTTTTTTCTATTTAATTAAATTTGTCTGTTTTCTTAGTCTGCCCCTGTTGAGAAGGTCAGATTACTGTTATGAAATTCCGTTATTTTATAGATTTTAATAATACTTTTATTCAATAAACTTCTCATGCTTCTGTGTATTCATTTTGTTTCTTGTTTTTTTTTTAATTTTTTTTATTGATTGGATATTTAGAATAACCACATTCTTGTTTAAACAATTGTCTTGGCACTTCTCTCTCAAAAGAAAAGATAAAATTGCACATTTATATCAGGGCTGGTATCATTTATGGACTATTTGACAGACAGTTTAACACCAAAGAACTAATTAAACAAGATTGAGATGACTCTATAGTTCAATATCTACAATACGTATTATGTAACCACCATGCAGATATTTACATTTCTTTGTTAACGATTTTTCGCACAAATTTATGACAGCCCAAACAGTTATAATTCACCTTCTCGAAGCTTGATCATCCATACATTAGCACCATGATATCTGCTTAGAATTTACCCTGTACTCATACTTCGTGAGTGCATCGTCTTTTGCATATATGTGCACTGAGAACAAAATTGTTTGACGTGTTGATTTTTTCAGATTTTGAGAGGTAATGATCCATTTTTACTTAGATATAAGATTGATATTATCTATATATTATCTATCGTGAGTTTTGTAAATGCAGTACCTCAAAGAGATCAAATACTTCTTTCATTGGTTCTCGTAATTCGATATCTGACTTTAAAGTGCGTCATAATTGGAGGGTAAAGAAAATATTAATAAGATTTCAATGGAATAATTGATCTGAAGATGCTGTTGTATAATTTAATATTCTACTGAGAAGTCAGTCTATAGTTTATATTGGTTGGCAAAGTTCTCTCACTCATGGAAACAGAAAAGCCATTTAGCTTCAAATGAATTAAACTGCGAAAAAAAATCTGTTGGACAGTGACAAATATGTGCTCTCTTAAATCACAAAGGACCAAGTGTACTAGGTACATACTGTATCATGTAAATGATTGTTGTTAAATTTATTATGGGTGTTTATTTTATACCAAACAAATATTTGTTGAGCTTTCAAAGAGAAGTTTATGTATAAGGAAGACAAATATAGAAGCGTTAGGGCCCCTATAAAGCACTAGACAAATTATAAGTGGACAGTGTTAGATCTGATAGGAACCCAAAAATCTAGAAATCAGGAATAAGGGTTGTCACTTAATAATTAGCCAAGAAATAAAGGAACATACTGTGCATTTAGCTGATTTTTTAAACATGTTTTTATATTACCAAATGGTAAAGCAGTCTTTGAAGAACCCAATTAGAAATCATATTTGTTAAATATTTTCATATTATGTGAGGTTAGGTTATTGTAAAGTAAGAGGACAAATGCTTTGGTATGTGAAGCATTGCAACCAGACCTGCATGTGGTTGTATACCTGTTTGGGATTGAAAATAAAGTCTTTTAGACATTAGGCCTCATAAAGCATCGATGTTCCCTGTATGGATGGTAAATGTATTTAAAAGAGGAAACATGAAAAAATCTTATGATGGCCGGCTTACTGTTAATCCATATTAAATTAAGGTCCATATATGAAACCATATATGTAACACATACATATTAATGGACTCATCCTCATGTTTGGGTATAAACCTCAGAAGAATATATTAACAAATCAACATTTTCTCAGACTAATAAAATGGACCAGTAGCAAATTACGTTTAACAAAAAAATTGTACAATGTACATCAGCCCAAAAACATTGCACACAATTCGTGTACTATAAATTACTTTTTATTCGCTAGAACTTTATTTTCGCTTAATTACGCGAGCTGTCTACTCACGAAAATTTTATTCTTGCGTATATTTGTATTGTTAAGGATTATAAACAACAGGAATCGCAATTCACGAAATTTTTGTCTCATTAATAAATACCAAATAGCTATCTCACGAAAAGAAGGTGTCGCAAAAGTTTAGTGATCTACAGTATGTATATGTGCTAACAGTCTATTTTAGAATTGTGAATTTAGCAGTCAATCCATAAATAGTACAGGAATATATCAAATTTTATTGATGTTTCCAATATTGTTTTGTTCCCAAGTTAAAACCCATTTCTGTCAATTGTATTCTGTGTTTGTTTTAGAAATTGTTTGCGATGGAGTGGGTATATTCTTGTATCCATTATGTAGAAGGATATTTTGAAATCCTCTATTCTTCCATTAATTTTATTATAAGCAATAAATCATTAAAATTTGAAAGGCCAGTATAAATCAATTCACTGAAATCATTTCATATGTTGTTAATGTTAAATTAACGAGTTCAGAAAGAATGAATACAACCATCATAATAGCCACGAAAACATGGTGTCAAATGTTCGTAAACTTTGCAATGATTCTACAAACGTGTCAGTTCTCCATAGCTAAGGAATAGATTTATCAAACACAGGAGACATTTTTGATTATATTTTATATTTGATATCACCACCCTTTTGTTGATATACGGAATGTCAAAACCTTACAAAGGAAGAGGTTGACCTTTATTTGTTCTGCAAACAGTATGTATATATATATAGGACTTGCCTTTTGCAAGCTTGCTTTTTTGGCAATTGTGATAGATTGCCCCGCATATTCATGCAAGTTAAGTCAAGTATATTCTTCAACAGTTCAAATTTTTTAACGTAGAAATATATTGTACTCTGTAAAAAAAATATATATATATTTTCCATAGAATATCAAGCTGCAATTAACAAAATTAATTAAATGTTAAGCATCATCATGTAGTGTAGGTATAGATTTTACTAGTTTTTTCAAGTCATCAGCCTAAGGCACTTAAGTGTGGGATAGAAACTAAATGAGCAAGTGATATGTAAAATAACTTTCAAGGAACTGTTAGTTTATATATTGTATATATCAAACAGTACAAAAAAACTAGAATTATGTACATAGGACATGTAAATGCCCCTCCAGGGGGATATTAGTAATGCAACATGAAAAATTGTATGAAGTTTGATGAGAATATCTTGAATAGTTTCTTTAAAATTGAAATCTAAAAAATTGGATATACACTGTAGATGATAAATTCTCACCAAATTATGTATAAGAGCATAAGCTTACATAAATATATCTTAAATGGTTTCTTTAAAACTAAGCAAAATTGCAAATTTAAGAAAAATGATGTCAAGATCACAGGAAAGTTCAAGGTCAAAAGTTTTTGGTGCAGTTGAATAGCGCTCACTAATATGTATCAATATATTAAGTATGATTAAAATATCTTGAATGGTTTATTCAAAAATGAGCTAAACACTAATTTAAGTAAAGTGATGGCAAGGTCAAAGCAAAGGTCAAGGTCAAAAAATGTTGATGCAGTTGAATAGCTTACATCAGTATGTATCAGCAGATGAAGTTTGATAACACTATCTTGTCAATGAATGGTTTATTTCAAACTGAGCTAAACAGTAATTAAGAAAAGTCAGGTCAAGGTCAAAGGAAAGGTCAAGGTCAAAAAATGTTAATGCATTTGAATAACTTACTTCAGTATGTATCAGCATATGAAGATTGAAAAAATATCTTGAATAATTTCTTAAAAACTTAGCTTTGAACTGAGCTAAATGCAAAGCGCAATGAAAGGATAGAAGACGGACATGACAAACTCTATATGCCCTGGCCATATTCAGGGCAGAGCATAATTACATCTTGTATGAGTATATGATCAAGTTTTATATAAGCAGCTGCAGTTGTTGAAGTGTGGGATAATCAAAAAATCAAAGTTTAGTCATTCCACTTAATTTTCAACTATAATTAGATTACAACAGGTCATCTTGTTTCCTTGATTTCAATCTTGTAAAAGAAGAATTTTTTTGTATTAAAACTAGCTGTTACGGTCCTTGTAAATGAGGACATTGTATATTTCATTCACTAGATTAATTCCTCAGTGTGCGATAGCTACAGACTGTGTACAGTAAAAATAAAAATAAACTTTCAGCTTTCATGCTGTATTAAATCTGGCTTAACTTTGTATTTTAGATGTGTGGTCGATCCATTGCTCCAATGAAGCTAATGCACAGATTAAAGCATATGAAGGTTCATTTTGAAGACAAAACTCGCATCCAGTTATCTGAGTACCTTGAGCTTATCTTGTGGTAAGTTAAAACATATGAAGGTTCATTTTGAGAATCTAAAATTTAATTTTTTGGGGGTAGGTCATTTTGACGACAAAACTTGCATTTAGTAATTCAATCAAGCTTTCTTGTGGTGTGATACCACTTAGGTTACTGAATTAAGAGAGATAACTCTTCATAAAATATCTGTTTTGTAAGAGATAAGTATCTTTTTCTTACCTGAAGTCTGTCATGCTACATAGTATTATGAAGTTAACAAAATCTGAATTTTTTTTTTTTTTTTTTTTTTTTTTTTTTTTTTTTAAATTTCATTTTATTTATTTATTTTATTTTATTTTTATTATTTTTTTTTTTTTTTTGCATATGTATGCATATTTTATAAAGTAAAGTACAATTTTCCTAGCTTTGTTAGTGGAAGACTAAAACAGTATGATATGCATTGTTAATGGTGCTATTGTCCACCAGTCTGTCTGCTTGAAATTTAATATTTTAAAATACTTACCCTATAAAATTTAAGAATTATACAATGTAGCAATGATTCCTATGACTTAAGATTATTTCAAAATGCTTCACCACCTGCAGTTTTCGTTATTTGATCAAAAGCAGGTGCAGCTGTAAACTACATCAAAGTACTTGTTTGATTAAAATCTGTACATCCATCTTGATTTTATTGAAATGTGTCATTGCTGTTTCTAAAAATATTTTTTAAATGCTCTTTTTCCTGTCTGATCATAAAGTTAAACTTAGTAAAGAGTAAGGTTCATCAAGGTACAGTTGTATGTGTATTAATTTTTATTGTAATGAAATGTGTAGGAATTGTCCCTAAAAGAACTCTGAAATGATTTGAAGAACCTTCATATTATAATGAAATCCTCTTTTCTCCCTGATTTAAATGAGCATTTTGTTACATCTCCTAGAAAAATCTAGAACCTCATTAAAGCATACCAGTTTAAGGATCTGATCAGTGGAGCTGCAATTTCATCAGAGACTTGTGGTTTCTCTTGTATGTCAGTATCACCATGTGTAATGTGTCTAATAAATCAGGTCAGTTTAAGGGTTAGATCAGTGGAGCTACAGTTTCATCAGAGACTTGTGGTTTCAGCGTCATGTGTTATGTGTCTAATAAGTCAGTTCAAGCATGAAAGATTGTTGATCAAATTGCATATCATGGCAGCATATTTCTTCTATACAAAAGCAGCTAGAAAAACGTCATAGTTTGAGAAGACCAGATTGACATTATCTGTACAAATTGATTTCCATCGTCAATAATGAGTATATATATATATGTATGTTTTGAAGTCTGATAAGCTTGCTATTTAACAACTGTTGATGCTATCATCATGTTTACACCCATTCAGCTTTAACAGGAGATAACAATCTATTAGACAATGCTTCATCTAGTTTTTGTTATGGTTCTTTGTTATAAATGTTTCTTTTACTTAGGTACCATTCTTTATTTCCCACATTTTTCATGAGAAAATGCAAAGAACACACCTTCAGCCTAAAAAGATAAATGTTAAAGACATATTGCAGTTTGATTTTTTCAAGAATTTTCATATAATTTTTCGAGAGAAAGGTAAAATTCCAGAAACAGGATTGTATGAAATCTCTGAATGTTTGGAGGAATTGCCTCATTTCAGGTGTGGGACTTATAAAGACTACAAACCAGAGGATGGTACAGCACCCCAGGGGAAGGACAAAGATCTCTATAAGGTAAGGACAGGTTCATTAAAAACGTAGATGTGAAGGGGCTCAGGGTGTTGTTATACTCCTGCCCCAAAGAGAAAACAATTCAGGAGTGTTATATCTAGATATGTAATGAACAGTAAAGAGAGAAACAAAAGTGTAGTTTCTTTTTGTTCAGCATTTATATATAAAGTATCCATATTAATCATCAAGAAAACAACCATATAACTTGGACTATAATTATGATTGCTACAGTCAAGTCACTGAATTGGTCTAAATGAGTTTGTAGTATCTGAGTTCAAATCATATTGGTTACTGTTTATGCTACGTACAATACCTATGTACAGGATTATACAGTTTGCTTATATTGTAGCTTGTCCAAAATATTTTTGTAGCTTAGAGCATGCTAAGTTCTGTCTACAAGATCATTTAGTTAGCTTATACTGTAGCCCCTTTTTGATTTGATTTTGTACTTGTAGTTGGATGATTTTGAGCAGTTCCTTTCACACTATGATTTTATTTTGTAGCTGACTGACTTTGAGCAGCTCCTTTCACACTATGATTTTATTTTGTAGCTGGCTGACTTTGAACAGCTCCTTTCACACTATGATGCCCGTCTTGCCAAGAAACTGAATGATGAATACCTCAAAGAGGAATGGGACTTTGGAAAGGAAAACCTCGGGAGTAAGAAGATGTTCAAGGAACCCCCCATTATCTGTGCTCAGGAAAGAATGGACATGGTAGGTATCCCCCTAAATAGGATGATTTTATACACTTGTCTCATTAATCAGACTTTGGATTTCAAGTTACATCAGTACTTTTTACAAGGGGGATAACTCTTTACAACATCTCACTACTCAGATTGGATTTTATGTTTTCACAAGGGGGATAACTCTTAACATGCATGAAATTGTTTGTCTTTAGGAATATTAAAGCAATATATTTAAACAGCTGTATGTTTTTATATATACATTTATATAAATGCTCCAGAATACAATTGTCTATTCAGTAATGGTAGAGGGAACTTACAGTCATGTTTTAAAATGAGAAGAATTCAAATGAAATTCAGGAACTTCATTTCTTTTCTAGATATTTTCTCTTACATTAAAAAATTGTGAACTATTTCAGGCTGAGACTTGTTTTTGTGATGAATTTATTGAGTTTTATGCAGAGGTAAAAAGCTAGGTGCAGATATCTTATAGGTCACAATGATATATGTAGAAATTTAATGCTTCCACAGTTTTTTGCTGTTTTCATAGACCTGTACAAGTAATTGCTTTCTTTTTCTGTAGGCAAGAAAAAAAGCAACAAAAAATCATAATAAAATACATTCAGTTGTAGGTTTTAATTAGGTCTTACTAACTCAAGCATATTTCTTTAGAGTATTAACAAATACTTTTTATCCATGAAAAACTTATTAAAGCACTGCTCATAATTAATTGTTCTGGCATGTAACATGCACTCAATTCCATGCACATATAAATTCAATATCACTACAGCTGCATAACCACATTCTAATTAGACTGCAATATTTATCTAAGACTTGTAGAATTCAGTTTAATGAATTACTTTGCTTTCAACAAACAGGTTTTTGTTGGCCAAGCATCATATTCAAAGAAATATGAATCAAATATGTAAAATCACAAATTTAATGACAAGAAATATATACACTGGATAGCTGTTATTGTTTACAGATATTAGAGTTTTATCTTAATAAACAATATTTCTCAGAACTATTAAAAAGAATTCAAATGTGTTCTGTATGACAAAAGCTCAAATGAACTTTTCTGATTGAAAAAGTGTCAGTGGGCTAAGATGGGACCAGAATAGGAGTCAAATATTGCATTAAAAGAGTGTTCTAAAAATAAAATTCCTCTAAGGGACAACAGAGCTGTAAAAACTCTTATGTCGTACATTTAGTTTTAGGCATTTTCATTTAGTTTGACATCGATGCAGACTTGGACCCTGGGGTCAGTTTGGGAGGGGGGATGGGGAACACTAGGGGTACATAGTTTACCAAGAATATTTAGACTAGCTTCCTTAAAAAATAACATACAATTCTAATAGGGAAATTTGATGACAAGAATTACCACATACTTTAGGGCTTAAAATGGTTAAAATCATATGAGCCTGAATTTTATGGCCACTGTACCCTTGAGTGTTACTTGTCAAAGAAATATGTTTCAGGTGAGCACTGTGGCCTATGGACCTCTTGTTGACATATTTTCATTTTAAGGAATATCTGAATGTGTGTATTATTGGCTAGTATATATTAGAGTGAAGTTCCTTGCAGACTTATAGTGAAATTTAATTTTTTATGTGTGTGCATTTTTCTGTTGTTTGTGATTTGCAATCCAATCTTAGCTCCCCAACTATTATTAAAAATAATTCATATCTTTAACTCTAAATATTCATTTATCAGTTTTGGAGTTAGTAAAGGTCAAGATTACTTTCAAAGAAAAAAAACAGTCATTTGTGGACAAAGTTGAACACAGTACAAAATTATAAAGTTGTTTAGCATCTTCAAATCCCCTTGTGTCATTCTGCGAAGGTTGTTTATTATTTTCATCCATTTCTTGGATTTCTGGAAAACAGTCATCCTTGTCAATTATGAGACCATGACTCTAGTACAGATCTTGAATGGATAGTTAGTCAGACATATTTGTTTACAGAATTAACAAGATTTGAGATGTAGGAATGTATGCAGACTACTGTTATACATATATAAGATTTGTAAACCTAGCTTTTATAACATTGTAAGTTTAAACATTGACAGACATAGTATATTAATTCAAATATATAAATATATGTATCAGATTTTATCTGCCACAAAAGAAGTGCTTTTATATTGTTTAGTTTTATATACTAATTTACTTGGTATGTAAAATGTTTCATGGAAATCCAGAGTCGTGCAATCAAAGTATGTTTGGAAAATCTATGTGCATGTAAAGAATCTTTTCCATGTAGACAGCCATAATAATAATGATAAATCAAAATCTGAAAACTGTATACCATTAAATAAATGCATTGTATATTAAAGATGAAAAGTGCATGGCACCCCTGCATTAAGAATTAATTCAGTTCTAACACCTTGAAATCCTTTGCTTTAGGGTTATGTTGCTGTATGCCTATATCTGAAGATTACAGGGCAACATTTATATGGATTTATTATTGGAAATTTCTTTTGTATGAATTTGCTATTTGCCATATTAAATACCTCTTCATTCCATTAAGAACATGCACGATATGTACATTGTATTGTATAGACAAGAGCACTTCACATCAATAGAACATTTAAATATTTCTAATGGTATTATCCACTTTTTCTTAATATTGACCAACGGTTTCCATTAATCTTAATGTTGACGCGAGTAAATATCTGCTCTTTCCTTTGATAGAAGTATATGTATTACTAAAAGATGTTAAGTAAGTAAAAATGACCAAGAAATTGAAATGGCTTATGTACATACAATAAAGTAAAACACTGCCTGTCAATTTCACCCCTTGGTTGAGATCTAGGGAGAAATTTGATTGTTTTTTATATTGGCAACGAGACAATGCCAATATCTCTCATTTCCTCAGAATAAGTCTAGCCTTACAGGTAGGTAGATATTATTAATCATATTTTTTGACAGGCGTGTCAGAAAAAACTGACAATTTTTGTATTTTCTGTGAATGCAATGTTTTGAGAGAGATACATAATTCAAAATGATTTTTTTTTTCCCTTCTGAGGACATTTAAGATCGGTGGACATTTAAAAGTCTTGTTAAATTACATTTGTTTTGGTTGGCAAATGTTTTCATACATAAAACTCCATGTAAAGTCATTAAGAAATGGAATCATACCTGTAATTACTCGGTTTGCTTAAACACAAACTGTTTTTTAAATGATATTTAATCCTTTTAATTCAGGCCAGAAAACAGAGAAAGCTCTACAAACATCTGAAAAAAGAAATTGGAAACTCGCAGAATATGGTTTACCGAGTGAAAGCCGGTTTTGTAAGGGACCGACCGCTGACAGCACCTGATTTATCTATGTACCAGAGGAGCCAGAAAATGAAAGAGAAACCGGAGATGACAACCAAATCTGCGTATGACAAGATAACACATCGGATTAACAGTGCCAGATCACGATGTAAGAATTTTATCTATTGATACCCGCTGATATTCTATTTAAACAAGTGTGCATAAGAGAAAGAAATTTGCACTTTTCAATTATTGGTGTAGTAGGACTTGACAAAATCAATTTATACAAAGTTTTTTTTTTGTTTTGATTGTTTGTTTCTTAAATAAGTCACAGTTTTTGCCATAATATAGATTGTTCCTTAAAACATCATACATGAGAAAGCTTATGGATATAGCCATTTTTGAGTATCAGTAATATGATAACAAATAATTATTTATGTCTAACCACCTACTATTACATGTAGTACATGTAATTATATATTTTCAATGAGAATTCCTTCAGAGAACTCAATACTATATGTGTTTTTATTTAAGCAGTATTCATATTTTAGCAGTCTTTTATGTAGTGCTTATTCATGATCAACAGAATATACATGATGAATGTTAATGATGATGATGCTAATTAGGATTTGATAATTACTCCAAGAATTGCAAGTCTGTACATTTTGATGTACATATTCAGTAAATGTCTGTGAAAAAATTCTGAGATTGACAAACCAATACGATATGTCCATGCACTCGTAAAAGGTGTACAAATAATGAAATGGATTTGTTGATAAAGTATTAGAAGAATTTGATTATAAGGATATCATTCCTATTTTAGCAGGTGGAGAGGACAGTCCCCTGTGTGATACCTCAGATTGTCCTCAGTATGTCCGTCCCCCAGAGAAAACAGTCACACCCATTGTCTCCGAGGAGGAAATTCAGGAGACTCAGCTCAAGAAAGACAACCTGGTGTTTGATATAGAAACTGTGGTATGTGTAGAAAATGATTCCTGAATATTTATATAGAAAGACTTTTTATAGTAAATGTAGTAAATGATAGAATAAAAGCACAGTATTTCTGAGCATAAATAAGCAGTAAATGCAGTACAAAGGGCAGAAACTCTTATTTCTACAAATTGAAGAATTGTATGTTTGGAAGAAAATCAAATTTATTGAGTTTATAGGTTTATAAGAATATGTATAACTGATAAATGAATGATTAATTTCTTTTCTCAGGAAAAAAGACATAGACTTCAAATGGAACAGACACTGGATTACTATATTCCTGGCATTATTGAGAAAATAGCTAAGAAAGAAGGTAATTCTTTTCTCTATTTCAAACATAATATGCGAACACAAACTGTCCAACATTTCCTCGTTTGCAGTTGTACTTTATATAAACCTAAGTATATCCTTCCAGCTGAAGAACCACATGTTGTTGTGGAGGATAAACCCAGCAGTCCGAGGAGGAAGACAACCAGTGAAGAAACCATCAATCACTTAGCTTACCCAGAATCCCACAATAATCAGTGTCACTCAAAGGCTTGTGATGCAAGGTCAGTGGAAATTAGCTTAACTACAGAGACACAAAGGATTTCTGAAATATTGGAAGCATTTTCTTCCATGTATCACATTCAATTACTACCAATTGCTAAGATGACCTATGTTTTTTTGCTTGGTTAAGATCTAACAGTTTATGATGAAAAAAACCACTGTGCTTCTGTACGTGAAATATTGTTACATGTGAAGATGAATTTTGGTATCTCGAAAAACCAATATCTCAAGTACCTTGGATATGTCGAAGTGATTTGGCAGTCCCAACTCCTTATTCCTTACATATTTTACCCGGATATTTCGAATCCTCAGATATCTCAGTTTTTTCTTGGTCCCATTGAGTTTGAGATAACGAGGTTTGACTGTATGTACTTTCTCTGTCTGCAACTATGGTAATCCATGAAGAAAAAGGAAGCTAAAATTATTTTTTCTTATGTTAGGTATCGTGGATGGCATGAGGTGCAAACCAAGAAAGGGGGACATTTCATTCTAACTTCCCCAACATTTGAGAATTCTTACCAAGGCAGGCTTCATAAGAAATTACACTTGAGAACAAAAGTACAAGCGAAAAAAGTCACCTCTGAATTTGCATATCGATACACAAAATCAAGTGAAGTTAAAAAGAGGATTCAGGTTTCAGCCAGCCGTCCTAACACTGCCCCTGCTGTCATGCAGAATTCTGTGGAAGTAGAGGAACAGGAGGAAATCTCTGAAGAAAAGGACCTCTATCACACAGAATCTATACTTACTGTCGACACAGGTTATGAATCTTGTGAAGATAAAAGTCTTCCCAGCTCCAAGGCTAGTCTCACTCCTTCACAAGCTTGGGGTAGTGAGGGGGACAGCATTGTATCTAAGAGTCCTATTGAATCCCACCTTCCACCTGAGGCTGAAAATGAGGAAATGTTTGTTACCTCCAGGAGTACAGAAGATTATGACATGATTCAGCTAAAACCAAATGAAAGGGACCAAGTTTCACCTACCAGAAAGGTTCAAGATACAAGTGAGAGAGTTAGCAGTGTCTCTCTAGATAGTGCTAAAATTCTAGTAGTGCCAAAGAAAGAGAAAATTTCCATAGACTCTGCACCCATTCCACAAATGCAGCATTCAAAGCCAAAAGTGGTGGCTGTGGGAGGAATAGGAAAGATATCCCTGCTGGAGAGTATATCTGAACTGAAACAGTGGGAGGAAGAGACAGAAGAAAGAAAAGACTTAGATTCTGTCAGACCAGAGAGCATGCCCATTCCCGATCTACGTGGGGATCCTGGTCACAAGAAATTACCGGAGGGTGAGGAGAAAAGCATGGAAGACAACCTTAACCTGCTTAATCACAGGCTGAGTGCTGATGGTGGTAAAGACAGTAAGAGAAACTCCAAAGCAATCAATGAGATGCCAGCCTTGACTATAGAGGAAAAGATTGAAAGGGAAAAACAAGCCAGAATAAAGAAGCAGAAGAGATTGCAAGGCTCAAACCTTGAGAAAATGGGAGTAACTGTGTTTTCAAGGAAACTGAGTTTGAAATATACTTCTGCACAACATACAACATCCACTTCTTCTGTGGACTCTTCAGATCCACAGAACAGCCAAACAAATCATAACCCGCATCTACAAAGGAAAAATCAATCCAAAAGTGGGGATAACAGTGTCACAACTACTCCTAGAAGCCAGAGACCTAGCTTTGGATGCAAGAACCACACTGTAACAGCCAACATAATCACCAAAGAGAAGAGTACCAGATCTCATTCAAATTCATCAAATACAACCGAAAAAGATAAAAATAATAAAAATTCTAGTCTGCAACAGAATTACAAGAAATCTGTACGGAACAATGTCACAAGCACAACAGACTTTGAAAAGGAAAACTTCAATGTAAAAGATTCCAAGATAACCACTGGACAGCATGCAAAGAAAGCATCAGACAGCAGCAGGGGACAAAACTGTGGCAAGGGAAAGTATGATAGATTACTTAAGAGACTGGAGGGTAGTATATCAGATGTGTTTGCTAATAAGCTGGCAGCAGCTCCTCCAAAAGTCAAGTAAAGTTCCTAGTGCATCAGTACTAAATCCTAGTGCATCTGTACTAAATCCTAGTGCATCAGTTCTCATGGGTATCATGGTGATAAGCTGGTAGCAGCTCTTCCAAAGTCATCTACTATATGTATAGTGCATCAATAGGATTGTGCAAAAAAGCTAGAAGCAGCAGGTCAAAGGTCAAGTCCTAGTGCATATGTACTAAATCCTAGTGCATCAGTACTCATGGGGATCATTACATAGTGCTTGTTTGTATAATTGTCACATATTTTGTGAATCATTGGTCCAGAGGCCTGTTCAACAGAGCGAACGTTCGCGAGCGCTCGCAAACATTTCTGTTGGAAAGATAAGGAATTTTGGCGAGCGCTCGCGAACGCTCACTCTGTTGAACAGGCCTCAGGAGTTTATACTTGTTTTATAATTGATGTCTATATTTCCAATTTTTCCTTATGTTCTTTAATTCATACACAGTTTTTTTAATGTGGCAGAAATTCCCAGATTTTGTTATTATAAATTCATGTACTTTTCATGTAATTTTAAAATTCACACATTTTTTAGTTGTACCAACGCATACAAAATGCAGTGAATTAAAAGAAAAGGGATCTTTTATTGATAACAAATCAAATATTGGTGATAGCTACAGTGTTAATATCAACTAACAGGTTTTTTTTTAAGATTATCATGGGTTTGTTTACATTCTTTAAAGTACATAAAAAATTTTCCTATATATTGAAAGCAATCTCTATATGAAATCAAGCGCAGCTATGTTAAGGCTTCCCGAAGCTTAAAATGCGCTCTAAACATAATATGTCATTGCGAGGTCGGTCTTGGTTTTAATTTATAAGTATTGAACTTTAGTATTTCCAATTTATATAAAGTGTTTCCTCGGCTATATATTAACATATTTGTTATGATATCACATGACTTTGTTGATCACGTGACGGTCATTTATAAATTTTTGTAGTGTTTCATATAAACTGCTTCGGCGCAGCTGATTAATACAATAATTATTAACATTTTGTAATATAAATAAACTCATCGTATCCTTGTCTATCCGAAATGTGCTTGGGAAAAGTCATAGTATTACTTGGGTACAAAATATTTCCTGAGAAATTCAATTTACATACAAATTTGAGGGTATTTTCCACACAATATCGTAATCTGTATTAATTAAAACAAAGCCAACACACATTTTTCCCAAGCAAGATTCAGTTAGAGAACAATCTCTTGTTAAAGATTTCCACAAAAATTCTCAGATTAATCCTCATTAATCACCTGCGCCAGACTCTTTTATATACACAAAATAAATTCTACCTCCAACCACGGGTATAAAACAGAGTACATTTCAAAAGTATATTTTTCATAAGCATTTTGAACATGCTGAATTTCAATCAAGGGTAGGTAAGCGGTATATTTTTAAAATATTCGGACATACAAGACTTAAAAAAAAAATTTAACGACCCGTGAATTTTGCAGTAGTTATCTAGCATTTTACATGCAGTTTGAAATAAAGTGTAAAGTTTATGACACTCTCCCCGTCATAACACCTCAAGTTTGCAGTGACTTGACGTCATTTTCCATTATGACGTCATATTTTGGTAGTTCCGAGATGTGAAGGCACAGAGTGCACTGTGATATTCTTCGGGAAGCCTTAACCTACCTGCGAGAGGAAAATGTTATTGTTTTTCTGTTAACTCTGTACTGAAAGTTGTTGCTCAACTAACTAAATTGTCTTGTGATATTTCTATGTGGTGCTAATTAAATCTACAAATCATTTGTACTTTTCTATTTATTTGTTTTGGTGCTTTAGCACTTTGTTTCTACTCTCTCCACTATTACCTGAATTAATAGGTTTTAACCTGTGAGCTTGACCTTGAGACCTGAATTAATAGGTTTTAACCTGTGAACTTGACCTGAATTAATAAGGTTTAACCTGTGAACTTGACATTCAACACTTCATCTTTCTCACATTCAAAGTTGAACCAATTTTAACCTTCGGAGTGAAATTATTGTGAATACATGTATTGTGCAATATATTTCAACCTTCAGTTGAAGGCTTTCAAAAATTTTAGGAAAGTTTATTGAACAGAATTTAAATTCATTCCACACCCCAAATCAGAAATCTATTATAATAATTACTGTGATTGCAATCTTAATAACAATGTCTTATTTTAATGTTTAATGTTGTCTTGAACAAAATGAGCAGGAACTTCAAAATAATCAATCTCGCTTGCACTTTTGAGTTGTAAAGTGCAGGACAAAAAATCCAATGTCTAACACACAATTTGTATGTTTTATTTGTAATCAGCACTTTTAACAAGAAAGATGAGTAGGAATGTATTAATGTATATTTGATCTCCAAAACAATAGCTTAAACACTGCACTTTTTCAAAATAGCACTGTAAAATCAACAAAACGCAATCAACAACACCAGTTCCACATTCATAAGTTATATAACTACACAGTTATATAATATTGTAGTCAGTTTATAAACCTGAGTATTGATGAAGAAAAACTGCAGATAAAAAAAATATTTTCCAATGGTCTAAGATTCATATTCCTCTATTGAATTGATTCAAAATGAATTCTGGTTAAAAAAAAAAAAAAAACAAGATGTGTTTGTGAAACACTGATGCCCCCGTATGGCAGCTTATGGCGAAGGTTAAAGTTTCTTCAAATGCAACTCAAAATCCAGGCCAAAAGATAAGAAATGTTGATACCCAAAGAAAGGTCTTGTCTCGAGGAATACACCTGTGAAATTTGAAAGACCTAGATACAACTGTTCAAAAGTTATGGCGAAGGTTAAAGTTTTTTAAATAAAAGTCAAACGTCAAGGTCAAGGTCAAAGTGGTTGGTGTCCAAAGGAAGATCTTGTCACAAGGATTACATTTGTGAAGTATGAAAGCCCTAGCACCAACCATATAAAAGTTATGGCCAAGTTTAAAGTTTTTCAAAAGTAGGTCAAACTCCTAGGTCAAGGTCAAAGGGTCAAAGTGGTTGGTACCCAAAGGAAGGTCTTGTCACAAGGATTACATATGTGAAGTATGAAAGCCCTAGCATCAACCATTCAAAAGTTATGGCCAAGGTTAAAGTTTTTCAAAAGTAGGTCAAACTCCTAGGTCAAGGTCATAAGGTCAAAGTGGTGGTTGATATCCAAAGGAAGGTCTTGTCGCAAGGATTACATATGTGAAGTATGAAAGCCCTAGCTCCAACCATTCAAAAGTTATGGCCAAGGTTAAAGTTTTTCAAAAGTAGGTCAAACTCCTAGGTCAAGGTCAAAGGGTCAAAGTGGTTGATATCCAGAGGAAGGTCTTGTCACAAGGAATACACATGTGAAGTTTGAAACCCTAAGCACCAACTGTTCAAAAGTTATGGCCAAGGTTAAAGTTTTTCAAAAGTAGGTCAAACTCCAAGGTCAAGGTCAAAAGGTCAAAGTTGTTGGTATCCAAAGGAAGGCCTTGTCACAAAGAATACACAGGTGAAGTTTGAAACCCCAAGCACCAACTGTTCAGAAGTTATGGCCAAGGTTAAAGTCTCATAAAATTTTGCAAAAGTAGGTCAAACTCCAAGGTCAAGGTCAAAAGGTCAAATATGATGGTACCCAAAGAAAGGTCTTGTCACAAGGAATACACATGTGAAATATGAAAGTCATAGCTCCAACCAATCAAAAGTTATGGGCAAGGTTAAAGTTGACAACAGACAGACAGACAAACGGACAAACAGACAAACAGATAAACAGACAAACAGATAAACAGACAAACAGACAGACAGGACAAAAACAATATACCCCCGGGATCTTTCGATCCGGGGGCATAAAAAAAGGTAAATATTTATGGCAAATTGCATAGTACAAACTAAATGTGTACATATTTAGGGAATGTTGTACAATCTCTAAAAAATAAAATGCATCAAATCGGTAAAATAAATACAGTCAAACCTAGATATCTCAAACTTGAAGGGGCTGAGAAAAAACTCTGAAATAACCAAGGATTCTAGATATCAAGGTTCAAATACATAAGTACATGTACTGTCGTTGGCTGGTGCTTCCAACTCATTCAACATACTCATGGTATTTGAAATATCGAAGTTCAACTGTATATAGTATTACATAAAGGTAAACATAATGAGGAATGTACTTTACATAAATACGAAAAATATTGCCTGAATACCAAAAAGATTTTAAAAAAAATGAAAATATAATAAGATTCACAAAAAATACATCACAGAAAACAATCTCATGGGTTGTAATTAATATACACTGCAGTAATTTTAATTTCTACTTCCTAGATAATCATGATATCCTTAAAGGGGCCTGGACACAGTTGCATTGTTTACTTTTTAAATTTCTATGTTTATTCAAAACAAAATAAATAACTTCAGTTTAATGAATTGATCTTACATGAACATTCTTAAAATTCAATGACAACGACATTCTTCATATCATCACAACAAACATATGTTTTTGTAAACAGGGCTTGAGCTCTGTTAGTGTTACCAAGTTTGTTCAATTTGTTTAGTCTGCTCACATCACTGAGCATGGATTGACAATACTGGTGAGTTGGTTTTGCTCTCTCACATTTCTTCTCTGAACTTTCTGGATTATATGTACAGTTCTCATATTTTTCATTAATAACAGTTTTCATATTTTTCATTAATACACAAATTTCTACTTTTTTAAGTAAAATGGATAAAATTTACTTTGTGAAAGTGCAAGGATATGTGTAAATCAAATGCATCCAGAAATTCATAGTTTTATAATTTCCAGATAAAAGAAGTTTCTTAACATGCTTTTAATATATTTTGATGTGAAATGCTCTAGCAACATATAAGCCATGATATTATTTAGAAAATTTTAGAAAATATGAGCTTCAAATCTGTGTCCCAGTCCCTTTAAAAGGGGTTCAGTTATTAAAATAATGCAAGTTAGATGGATATACTTATAAATTAAAAGTACTTTTTGATTCCCACCAATGTCTTTGAATCCTAATTGGTGTGCATGTACAAGACTACATGTAAGCTAAGGAATGTTTAATTCATACAAAAAACATTGCTTTACTTTCAAATACATTATTTGCAATGGAATGTCAATTGTACAAAATAAATAAGAAAAAATGTGGACTGTTAGATACCAATACAATGCCAATTTCATAAGCTTAATATCTCTCAAAAAGTTTAACGAAATAAATATTTAAATCAGAACAAAAAAGATTCAATAATACATTTCGATTAAATCAATTCAG